GCCTGCAACAATGCATACTTGGATATTTTCACTGATCTACTGCTGCTTAAACTGTTTGAATGCATCTGTGCTGACCGGCACAAAAAAAATAAGGGGGAAAAAAACAGCATTTTTAATTACCATTTGTCATTTTCATTACCATTTAGATGATTTTTAAGTGTGAAATTTTTATCCTTTGTTGTAGTCCAGTTTAACCCTTTACATGGTCAGGGCCCACCAACAGGCCCAACGTTTTATTACACAGTTCTGTAGCCAGTTTCCATTGAAGTCCCTGTAGTTACTGAATAATAAGCCTTAGTATGTACTAAACCTGGGAATTGAAGGGGTTAACCTTTTGCGTTTCTCTCTTCACCTGAAATATTTCGGTGGCTGAAATGTCAATGCATCCTTAATTTATGTATAAAAGATAATATTTATGTAACAAAACACAGTTTGGAAGTTCAGAAACCTCCAGTTTACAATGGCATGTTGGTTGAGTGACTTGAGAGGCGTCCTCGATATTAATTGGTCAGCTGATGATGTATGGTGGCATTTTTAGTGGTGAGCAGTGCAAAAATTGACAGTTTTCAAACGTAAAAGCGATTGCGTAGCACGCTGTGCGGCCTAGAGGAGCACACTGCTCCATAGACAACAGCGAAAAGAAGCGTGCTTTAGAGAGTTTGAAAAGGGGTCGTCTGAGCGCCCTCCTTAAATGCGATTAGCTTTGCCCCCTTTACCTACCTACCCTACCTAAGTATGGCGTGCTCTTTAGCAGCACTAACTCATTAGCAGACACAGCTGTCGAAGCAGACATATGGCCAGCCGTGTGGACAGAGCTGAGTTGGTGAGGTCACCGTGTGTGTGTATGCTCACAGGTGTGATCCCCTCACCTGATTTCACGCCATCTTCACCTGAGCAGAAGAGAGTAACCCAGAGAAAAACGGCTCAGGAGAACTGAATGGTGATTCTCCTAAAATTCCTTAGGAGAAACGGCATTAGACAAAAAGGAGACGTTAAAGGAGATAAAGGAGGGATGAGAGTTCAGTTTCAGACGAGTGTTAACTCAGCAAATATGAGCACTGTGTGACTTTATGAAATCCCTACTGAAACTCAAGAAAAGATCCATGTGAGTTTACTGAGGACATTTGCTCTGGAGAAATTTGCAGGACAGTCTTAACCAAAAGTCTTCTTTGTTTTCTGTCTGGTCTCATCGGCTGTTTTCAGGGACTTTTTGTGCAAAACGATAAAATGAAAATGCATTTTAAAAGTTTGCAGCCGTTTCCTTCAGACGGGTTTGTGATAAAAACTTTACATAATTGCACAATTTCCTACAACAAACTGTTGTTGCACATCAGTAAAAAAGTGGTTGTTGACATGTTTTCATTTCTAATTTCATGTATGTCACAATTTGTCTACCTTCCCTGACCTCCGCATAACCTACCGATAGACATTTGGTTTATTTATTCGTCATCTAAGCCGCTTATTCTCCTGGGGCGTGGGGGGTGCTGGAGCCTATCCCAGTGGTCATTGGGCAGAAGGCAGGAAACGCCCTGGACAGGTCGCCAGTCCATCACAGGCATACAGTTACACATTCACACACACATCTAGGGGCAATTTAGTCTGGTATCTCCTATTGGCCTGACTGCATGTCTTTGGACTATGAAAGGAGGAAGCCCATGCAGACATGGGGAGAACATGCAAACTCCACACAGAAAGGACTCTGGTCACCCGGGTGGGGAATCGAACCCAGACCCTTTTTGCTGTGAGGCGACAGTGTTCTAGCTAGAGGCTAGACCAGGGGTTGGCAACATGCGGCTCTTTTACTGCCCTGTTGTGGCTCCACAGCAGAATTATTTTTTTAGGTAAAAATAAAATAATCCTCCTTCGCAGATCGTTCAACACAGTTTAACAATAAATGGTCTTAAACGCTGGAGTTAATTTGGCCTATATCTGCTAATTCACTCTTTATCCCTGAAAGTTGGCATGCAGACTGCTGATCATAGCAACACAGGCAACAATCTTCCCTAGCTAGTATCTAAAGAAAAGGCAAAGGGAAAGACAAACATCGATCATTTGGAGGCGAATGGACTTACTTGCATTTATAGTCACTACAGCTGGTTTCGTGATACGTTTAATCTGCAACGAGAAACTGTCAAACACTAAAACGTCTCAAAGCTGATGTCAGTTTCTTGGTTGCCAGCTTCTTATTCGAATTTCATTTTTCCACCTTAAATGGAAAGCCAGTTACATTCTGGCACCTCAGGCACCATTTAAGGTGGAACGGGAAAATTTGGACAAGAAGTTGGCGAATGAGAAGCTGACTTCAGCCTTGTAAGGGTTGAACATTGAGAGACATTTTACAAGACGCTTTTCTACTTTTGAGGAAATGTTTCCTCCTGGAGCTATAACTGAGCTAAAGCTTAAAGCAGAGCAAAGTAAGTCTGTGTTTTCATTTATATTATATTTTTAGCCTATACTAGTACATCAGCACATGCTGAGACATATTTACAGCCAAGATAGTAAAACACTAATGATTTTTATTGAAAAGAAAAAAATGGCTCGTCTTAACATTTGTATTTCCGACCTTTGATCTAGACGTGTCTCACTGTAAGAGAAAGTGGCGGCAGTCCAGCTCTACCTCTCCGCTGTGATGTTTGCATTTGGAATAAGAGGCACATGAGGGAAATCTGTCACGACACTAAGTTTTTTTCTAGTGAAGCTTTTCTTAACATTTCAGGTATCGACAGTGTTTGTTTTTCCACTAAAGTTTTGTCAAAATTCATAAAATACTACTGTCAGTTTCTGTTTTCATAGCCTACTCAGCCTCCCGTAAAAGCTCCACTGGATGGGAGCTCAGTTATTGTTGTCTGGAGGAAACTACAGAGACACTAAGATGTGTTTATATTTCTCTTTCCTGTGGGATCCTGTCTGAGTGTGAACAGAGGGAGCTGTGTTGAGAATCTGCCGTCTCTCCTCGGGCGTTTGTGTCAGTGCTGAAGCGGTTTGTCTGTACAGTGAAGGCTCTGCTTTTCGCTCTGACTGATAGAAACACATTTCCTGTAAGAATGTGAATTAATGTGACTCAACTCCAGCGATGACACCTGCTTTTATGTTCACTCCATCTCTCTCTCTCTCTACCTCTCTCTCTACCTCTCTCTACCTCTCTCTCTACCTCTCTCTCTATCTCTCTCTCTATCTCTGTTTTCGCTCTTTATCTTGCTTTCTGTCACTTACTCTCGCAATCCCTCTCTCACACACTTTTTCTCACACTGTCTCTTTTTTATGTTAAATTAATCAATCTCTGTTTCTTTCTCTATCCCTCTTTCCCTGCTTCTCTCTTTTATTCTCCCCTCTCTCTCTTTAAATCCTTCATTCTCTTCTTTCTCTTTTATTCTCACTGTCTCTATACTTTGTCTCTTTCTTCCCCCTTTCTTTCTCTCTCTCTCATTCCCTTGCTTTTTCTTGCTTTTCTTTTTCTGCAACTTTTTTGCTCTCTCCATCTTTCTCTGTTCCCTCCTTCTCTCTCTTCTCTCTCCCTCTTCCCCCTTTCTTGCTCTCTCTTTTTCTGTCTTCCCCCTTTTCTTGCTCTTTCTCCTTTTTTCTCTCACCATCTTTCTCTGTTCCCTCCTTCTCTCTCTCTGTCTATCTCTCTTCCCTCTTTCTTGGTCTTTCTCCAATGTTTTTCTCTCTCCATCTTTCTCTGTTCCCTCTTTCTCTCTCTCTCTCTCTCTCTCTCTCTCTCTCTCTCACTCTGTCTCTCTTCCCCCTTTCTTACTCTTTTTCCAATGTTTCTCTCTCTCCATCTTGCTCTGTTCCCTTCTTCTGTGTTCTTTCTTCCTTTCTCCACTCTCTCTCTAGCACTCTCCCTCTCTCACTAGTATAAATTAATCTGCCTCCTCCTAATTATGTAATTATGTGTCTCTTTCTTTATCTTTCTTGTTTTTGTGTGTCTTTCTCTGTTTCCGTCTTTTCCTTTCTATCTCTCAGTCTCTCTTTTTAATAGATTAATTAGGCTACATTAATCAATCTATCTATCTATCTATCTATCTATCTATCTATCTATCTATCTGTCTATCTATCTATCTATCTATCTATCTATCTATCTATCTATCATTCTCTCTCTGTACCTGAGCTGTCAATGAGCAGTCGTAGCTCAGTCATGTATCTTGGTTCAGCATTGTGTCGGCTGCATGAATAAACAGGCTCAGATAAGGAAGTCTCCTGTCAGCGAGGGCTGTTTTGGTGCATTGCTGCCAGCGGTGCAGAAAGCCTGCTGCTGCAGCCCACTGCACTAAAAAACTGCTGCCAGTGGCATTAGGAAGTGGGCCAGCAGAGGCCTGTCTAAACCACAGGTGGACAATGTGAGGCACAGATATATTTTACATGGAAATGGAAGGGATGGTGCACAGAATTACTGAAATGCAATAATTCTAATATTAAAGGTATTGAAATGCTTCTGGATAATGTACGTAAACTGGAACAGGTCTAATTTTGGTTCATTCATTTATGTAGTAAAGGAATAACTAGTTTCCCCCATTTACTGTATGTCCCTGCTGCAGGTAGATATTATATCTTTATAAAAATCCACCTTTGTTACGGTGTACGTTTTAGGACACCGTCAGGTTTCAGACATCTGTTGTAAATCTTGGTCCTTGCTAAAAGGTCAGGAGTGTCAGGAGGCCTCAGGATAGTTGATGATTTATTGCAGGACCCTCAAGTCCCAGCCTAATTTGACAATTCTGAATCATGTGGACTAAAATGAAAAGAAAGGGAGACTCAGCATTGGCGCTCGGGCCATATGATCCGTCTAGAGTGAGCTTTGCAATTTAAGAATAAAAACAATAACTTAAAAAGAATACAAATAAAAACGTTCCACACATCAGACAAAACAGCTTTGGGTATCTGGTCGCCTCTCAGCACTTGATTTTTCCCCAAACTATCCCTTTAGTGACAGTCGCCTCACAAATGTCTGTTAAAGCACTTTCAGTCACTCCAATTAATCTCCCTTTCTCCTCTCTCAGGCTACAATCCATCCCACCCTCGGCTCTCGTCCCTCTCTCTCCGCAAAGAACCTAAAGAGGTGAACTCCTCGGCTTTCTTCGTCTCCGTGGCTGAACCTCTGGACCCAGAGCGATGGGAGAGCGATTCAGAGACCAGCGGCTTCCCCCTGCACCCCTCCTCCTCCAGCCTGTCCACCACAGCTGCCGGCCCGCTCACCCATACCACCGTCACCGAATTCAAGCAGAACGGCCCCCCACCTGAGGCCACAGCTGCACGTGACATCCTGTCTCTCCCTGAAGACGAAGAAAGACAAAATCTCCTCACCCAAGCGCCCACTGTTCCAGAAGTAGGGCCCTTCCCCAGCCAGACACCGCTGCAGCCGGACGACACCCGCCGGGACGATGCTGAGGTAAGATTGAGGGATATGGCAGAAATATAACATAATGGCACTTGAAAAGATCCAGTATGTGATATGTATTACAATACTCTGTTGTTTGAGGTTTGGAATGTAGTGCCATGTTGAAAACAGCTGTGAAAAAAGTCCAGTGATCAAACAATTGGAAAAAAATGAATAAGAATGTGTCATAATGTGCTGACAACCAGTTAGCTACTTGTTACTGTGCAGTTTATGCAGTTACTGAACACTGGTTGTTGTTGTTGTTGTTGTTGTTTACAGCCTCTCTGTGATTGGTCTTTTTTATGATACATGCAGTTGTTCAGTCTGAAGATACCCATTATATACTCAGAAAAATCATCACATAACTTATCATGATACCCATAACATATGATTGTATTGCCCACTTCTGCTCTGAGGACCAGGAAGAAGAAGATGAAGAAGGAGAAGAAGGAGATGAGGAAATGGTGGCCTTCCCTACTGAGGTGGACGGTGAAGAAGAGGACGATTGGACGCACCTTACCGTCGGGCCAACTTCCACGCCGCCATCAGACATGCCAGCTGTGGCCTTCACCCAGATGGCCTGGCAAGACGTGGAGGTCACCAGAGCTGGAGATGATGACGAAGCTGAGCTCCGTCATGGCGGCACAGAGTACCTTTCAGAGGCGGACTTGCACGATTCCCAAGAAGTGGTGCAGGTGAGGAGGTGTTCTTGCAGAGTGACTTACAGAAGCGCTTTGTTGTCGGCTTGATAAACGTATCCTATGATAGTGTAAAACACTAAAGAGTCGAAAGATCTGAAGATACCCTCAAGCTAAGACCCTGCCAGAAACAGGAGACAGTGCTAACACGTAAATACATAGAGGCACAAATACACAAAGATTTTCAAGGTTTTTTGCAGGTGCATGATTAGTGCTCGTTTAAGCGTTTATTGAAGAGATAGGTCTTTAGAAGAGAAGTGCTGAGGTAGTGAGTGAGCTTGTTTTCATTGTGGGATTGGTCAGCTTATTATGTCCAGTAGGGCTGCACAATCTGGACAACAGTGTAATGTTGAGAGAGAAGAAGAGGCAGGACGCAAGTACAAATCCTGGGTTTTATTAAAAGTCCATTACACAAAGGTATCCACAAAGCTGACAGAACAAAGACAAAATACTGAAACGAAGAAAATCAAAGACAGAGGGACATAAAGGCTGCATTCACATAACCAGACTGAAGGTAATCTGACCTGAGCCACTTTCATATGTAGCCCTAGATCGGATACGTATCCGATTTGTGGCCATGCGACCTTAATGTGAATGCTCAGATTGGAATTCATGTCCTTTTTTTCCACTGCGCGCCACATTTCAGCGTTACCATGGCAGCAGCGCCAAACAGAAGTTAAAGCCAGTAAATGGTTTAAAAGCAACACATCTCACCCTTTTTGCCTTGCTCTAATAATGAACAGCTGAGCGTTGTTCGGAATTAATTATCTTAGCAGTGAAGGCTCTTTGTGCTCTTTGCTGTTCATGACGCATGTGATTCATTCACGTGACGTTACTGAGTAGGATGTGCGCATGTGGGTCGTTTCAGGACACCGGTTCGTTCACAATATTGACAGATTTAAGTCACTTCCCTAAAGGAGTGTGAACCATCATGTTAAAAAGATTGTATCTAAGCAAAAAGAGGCTTGAAATGTGACCATAGCCAAAGAAAACTAGAAAATAAACAAGAGACAACCAGAACAGGGCCTGAGAGAACAAAACCAGCAGGGGTATAAATACACATGGAACAGAACAGAAACACCTAGGACCAATGAGAGGGTGGGGGCTACAGACAACAGACAGGTGAGACAGATAACAGGAAGGCAAGACCAGAGAGGAGACAAAGACCAGAAACAACAACAAAAGCACATGGCTGACATAAACAAAAGTACATGGACAGAGACATGAAACAGAGACAGAGCAAGACAGTATGTTACAATAAAACAAAGTTGTTGGATATCACAATGACGATATGCGTAGCACTGCTCTAGTGAAGCATCAAAAGATGTTTGACTGCTTATGGCGCCCCCTTGTGGAGAATTTGTGGCCTGCAAAACGTGAGTGAGTCCCATGAGGTGCTTCAGTCTAAAAACAGGAGTCCTTAAACAGCTTTTTCCATTGAATATGCATATTTTAATTTTTAATGTAGGCCTACAAAAACAAACATATAGTTAACTACTTAAAAAGCTCCTTATGGTGATGCAGAATTGTTGTGACAGTGGGAAACACTGATTTATACATTTTACCATACAGTCTCACACTGAGACTGAGCAGAGTCTGCACATTTTAAGCAGTTTTACAGGGTTGTAGTTCAGGATAAAGTCATTTTTGAGCTGAGCTCATGGATGTTATGTAACTGGCTGTTGTGCAAAACGGTTAAGTTACTCATTCTCCACGTTGGAGTAAACGGTTCAGGCTCAGCACAGGGAAGCCCTTGTTAGGCTTCTATGGTTTTGTTCCCAGCAAATTAATCACGTCACATTGGTACTGAGCATATGGGGTAATTTGTAATCTGAGGTAATGTGTTCTGTCGTTGTGGCCCTTAACCTTGTGCAAACTCATATCGTGATAATGAAAAAATGCGGGTTATCATGCAGCCATAAGACCTGCACCTGATGTAGCAGATGCTGATAGTGACAATGGCCTAACCCTGTGTTCACACCGGCAGCAACGCGAGGTCATTCGTTTTCAATGAGAGCTGGCGATTTCTGCCGACAGTAGGCGGTGTGAATGTTGGTAACGCAAAGTGATGCGACAACGATGCGACAAAGTTGAGCAAAGGTTAACTTTATGCAGCTGAGGAGTGAAGCGACGTGACAACTACCAATAGGAATTGAACATTGAGCAGCGTAGTTCGCACTTTATCTCTGCCACTGATTTTATGCCGCAGCGCTTTTTTTAAAAAAAAACATCGTGCCTCTTTACCTATGAACATACATCATCTGAAAGATGATGAATATTTAAATCCTTCATTTCTTTAAGCTTGTATTTGGTTTCTTTATCAGATTTCTCATTCAGATTTCTAGATCTTACTGCGATGTAAGAAATCGGAGTATGCTGTTTAAATGACCATTTGAATAATCAGATAAACTGCAGAAATCCAATAGTGATCGTATTATTGAGTGCATATAAACGCACTCAGTAAGAAACACAAATAATAATGATCAAAATCAAATGATATGGTAAAATATATTGTTAAAAATGTTTGGCTCTACGACGTCCCCTTCACAACATTCATGTTGTTTCACACAAAATACTAGTCCTTTTCAAATGAGGAATGTCCTGAACTTGTCAGTGCAGCTCAAGCAGGCCTTGCACATCAGACGTTTTCAAATGCAGCTCACGCTCAAGGAGAAACACTCGAACGAAATCCAGAATCCTCATCTGTTAATAACTTATGAGGCCAGGCAGACCTAATCAAGATATGTCAAAGAAAAGAAACAATGAAAGAAATGAACAAGCTTCCTTTTTTTCATCAGCAGAATGGGTTTAATGAGGCTAGATTTGCTGAAGCTCTGCTTCTTTGACGCCTTAATCTCTTGATTGATCCGCCTGCCGGTAATGAATGGTGCTAATTAGGTTTAATTAATCATCATTTTATGTAACTAATGTTAGCTGAAACAGGAAGATATCACTTTCGCTGATGGTTCTTCTAACAGAAGTCTACATATCTTGTCACTTTTCATTTTTTTGTGTGTTTTTGTTTCTGCTGTTCCTACCAAGGTGATTTGTGTGGACTGGAGCGATCTGGCTGGAAAAGGCTACGTCATCCTCAACATGTCGGATAACTACGACTGCGTAAGTTCCTGCCTTGTTCTTTTACGTTTGATATTGGCTTTTTATCTATAGCACAGTGATTTATTCCAGTTCTACTTGAAAATGTTTAATGTATTTAAGTCTTGGGTTGTGTATTTGGTTCATTTCACAAAAAATGTAAGATAACATTTGATAGAAGTTTTTAATGGCTGCCTTTGTAAAAGGATTGTATAGCTGTGAAGAGAGCAGTCCCACATCTGCGTTTCGGGGTTAAAAGCTTCTTGCCATGTGCAAATTAACACTTATCGCTGGGGATGAAAGAATAGTGCAATTCAATCAGGTATTTTTCAGCCGTAGCTCATTAATACAGACAGAAAGTGCAGATTCTGTTTTCAACCTGTACCACATTTTTGTTTGTAAGCTGAAGAGAAGACCTTTTATTATGATTTGAGTATGAAGAAAACGTATTGTTGTATGTACAGTCTAGTTTTGCAGAAAGAAAGTCATCTTTTATTTTTTTGCCATGTTTTTTCATTTATTGAAGTTGAAAAAAGAGAAAAAAGTCATAAGCGCAGACCCAAACCTGTCAGCACAGAGTGTAACAGAAGAACCCTTTTTGGTGCTACATTGAACCCTTTTCAAAAAGGCTCTATATAGAGCCATATACCACACATTCTCCATCAATCTGAAGAACTTTCATGATGCAAAGAACCCTTTGATTATGCAAACGGCTCTTTGAGTGTTCATGTTTCTATATAGACTTATTGTCTTTACTGAAGAACCCTCTTTTTTTAAGTGTGTAGTGTTTAACTAAAAAGATAAGCCATTAACTTTGGCCATTATTTTTTTGCCTTTGTTTTTTTTTTTCCTGCAGTTAACTGTTCATTGACTCATGTCAAAAATATTCAGAAACACACATATCTGTATGTAATTTGTTGTTTCTGCAACTGCAAGCATTTTTAGATCTTGGCAGTGAATTTTTGGATAGAAGTTGACATTTTCAGTATAAATCACAGGGAGCAGTTTTGTAGTGTCATATAACATTTTCACACATTAATTGGTTACTAAATGTACTGAAATAATGTAGCTTATGAAACATATTTTGGGTCAGAATATCAATTTTATTAGTGTCCCAGACCTGCGATTTACACTTTCAGTGCATAAAATTAGCTGAATTATAAAACTACATTGTGTTAATTGAAAAGGAGCTGTTTAAATGTTACATCAGAAGCTTTAAAATAAATACAGTCAATCATTAATATCAGTTATTTCTCTAAATATAGCTGTTCCACATTTATATGTACCTACTGTGACACTGACCAAATGACCTAAAATAGTAAAAAAAAAAAGTTGTTACTTTTTGACTTGCTTTTTTATTGAAACAAAAATGACTCAGAAAGCATGGAAAACCTCTGAACGTACAGAAAAACAAAGCACATCTTTTTATCTTCAGTATTCTCTGCATGTTCTTATCGTTGTGTTGCACAGCGATAAGAACATATATAACGGTACCGCTGTCAGTTTTCGCACACAGACTGAGAAACTGGAAAGAAATCGAGTAAGAAATTGGAGTATGCTGTTTACATGACCACTTGAATAATCGGATAACTGCAGAAATCAGATTATGATCGGGTTATTGAGTGCATATAAATGCACTCAGTAAGAAATACATATAATAATGATCAAAATCAAATGATATGGTAAAATATATTGTTAAAAATATATTTTAACATGAAAAGCAAAGTAAATATCATCTTTTTGTCTTCTGTATTCTCTGCATGTTCTTATCATAGTGTTTATAACTATTATGATAGTATAAATGTGTACTATTATAAATGTGACTTTTAGAAAATGTCATGTTGGTGTTAAATAATATATTAGACTAGTTAATATATTAGATGTTTTCTGTCAAAGATAAAGCTGTTTGTCAACTGTACTCAAAAACAGTGAAAAATGTCTTTACCTCAACTTGTCCTGTGTTGTAGTAAGGAAATGTTACGGCCAGAACATTGTTCTGAAAAGTTGGACAGCTAAAACTGCACAAATTGAATGAATAGTAAAACAGCAGTAATACCTGTGCTTTGATGGGTTAAAGGCCACAGCACTGCTTTAAAATCTTCACCAAGGTTTTAGATGAGCTGGACAGTTTTGTGCTTAAAGTACGCAAGATGTTTGCATTTCTTTCCCCTCGACCAATTTGGCTGGACTGGAGCATTGTCTAGTACTCATATTTTTGGGAGTGTACCTGCTGTACAATGAAGAAAGCCTGTGGGAATAAGAGTGTCTCCACCGAAACGCTGACTGCACTGTTTGCAAGGCTGAAAATATTAAACAAATGATACCTTTGTTAGACACAGCAGTCTGAGTGCATATGAGATCTTTGCTCGTTATACATACATACATATATATATATATATATACTGCCACCACTGCTATTGCAGACAAAGAGCACAGCAGAAACTACACATATATATATATATATGTATATATATAGTATATATGTATATATATATATATATATATACACATACATATATATATATATATATATATATATACACATATATATATATATATATATATATGTATGTATGTATGTAGTCTCTGCTGTGCTCTTTGTCTGCAATAGCAGTGGTGGCAGTGCCAGCAGTACATTAGCACAGATTCTGCTTAATCACATTCTCTGTCGATGCCACTGCAGCAGGCTGCCCACAAAACACACACATACACACACACACCACCTCACCCTCTCACCGAAAACTTCTCCCTCCCGAGAGGCAGCCGTTTGTCACCATGGCAACCTCTCAAAGCCACGCAATTATAATCAGTCTGACCTTCTACGGCTCGCGTGCCAACAGCTGCGTGACAAATTGACAGTGTGTGCCAAGCTGGGGAGGGTCCGCAGATTATAGTTGGTATTTGTATTAGCAAACAAATTCTGCACAGAGAATGATCACCAGAGACAAAGAGGGCTGAGAGGAATACAGAATGGGAAACGGGCTCTTCTAGCTCTCGCCTGCTTTTAACAGAGTCGAATACATGCTAGGAATGAACAGTACTGTGCAAAAGAGCAATGTACTGACCGCCACACTGTCCAGAACTTCGCTAAATGTGATTGAATTACTTTGATTGTGAGAAGCAGAAAATGCAAACAACTTTTAAGACTGAACTTGGAATACAGTCCCCCTGAAGGGACGTGGTGTTTTTTTTTTCTCTTGGGTAAAAATCTGGTGTGCACCAGATACTATCAGGTGAGCACCCAATACTATGTGGTGAGCACCCGATACTATAAAGTGAGCACCCAATACTATGTGGTGAGCACCCGATACTATCAGGTGAGCACCAGATACCATGTGATGAGCACCCTACACTATCAGGTGAGCACCAGATACTATGTGGTGAGCACCAGATACTACAAAGTGAGCTCCCAATACTCTGTGGTGAGCACCAGAAACTATCAGGAGAGCACCAGATACCATGTGGTGTACCAGATAAAAGATTACAAATTTGTACAGTCTAAGTTTGTGCGGCTCCAATTTATCACATTGCAGGTCATTGTTTCTGTGTTTTATTCATATAAAATCATTTTTTGTTGGGATACTTAGAAATGTGAGCATTCTAATAACAAAATTGGTTAAAATGCTCACCCCTAAATGGTAGCAAAACTGGTTGAATAATGTAATATTACATGGATTTAATGATGATATTTATAAATTATGTTAAAGTAGAGATAACTCTATCAAATAGTCGTTAGTTGTCTAGAAAGCTTTGAAGCTTAAAATGGGTTGATAATTGGCCAGTAATGTCAGTAAATTATCCAATTTAGGTTCTGAATCGAATGGTCACTGAGTCTCTAAACGAGGTCTCTCTTAGACTCTGGCCCTGCTCCTCCTGTCTGACCGAATGAATCATCAGTTGATGGTGTGGGTGGTCCCCAAAGTGGGCTTCTGCTGTAACACAAGGACAAGTGGAGGACATGCGCGTGTCCAGTTTTTGAAAATCCATCACAGAAAACCTCATGGGCTGGTTTTGTGAGTTTAGCCAATGCCTGCACTGCTCTGATCAGCTCTTTCCATCCTTGCCCATATTCATAAAAATACACATGAATAGATGCTTCATAGAATAGAATAGAAAAGAGTAGAATATTGTGTTACTATCCACACAATGTGGAAATTTGCCTGTGACTCATTTGCCACTTATAAAAGGCAATGATCTTGACAAAAAAGGAAACACAAGTAAGAAACATTGTAAGATTGGCTTCACATTATCATAAAAGCAACTACATCAATGACATATATCATAACAAGACTAAGTGAAACAGGATATTTAAGAAATGAATCAAATAAATTGATGTAAAAAAAGACAGATTTGTAGCGTTTTTAAGTGTTCAGTCTGCTTCAGTTATCTAAGTGTGCACATCCAAAACCCAAATAGAAACCAACAGTTTAAGTTATAGTTCATTTTCAGGCTGCTTGACACTAGCTGTGCTGACATGAAATAATATAGTGTAAAAATGTCCACATTTACACAGAATTGTGTGTAGAATCAGAAAAAAAGGTATTTTTCTGTCTGAAATCTGAAAATGAGCAGAAACACTTGTTCTGTCAAAGCTAGCAAAAATCCCAGAGATGTTAGCCACTTTATCAAAATAGACAGCAGTGCTGCTGGAGTTTTTAAACACCTCAGTGTCACTACTGGACTGAGAATAGTCCACCAACCAAAAATATCCAGCCAACAGCGTCCTGCAGGCAGCGTCCTGTGACCACTGATGAAGGACTAGAGGATGACCAACACAAACTGTGCAGCGTTGTGCAGTGTTTAAAAACTCCAGCAGCACTGCTGTGTATGATCCACTTGTACCAGCACAACACACACTAACACACCACCACCACGTCAGTGTTACTGCGGTGCTGAGAATGATCCACCACCCAAATAGTACCTGCTCTGTGAGGGTCCATGGGGGTCCTGACCACTGAAGAACAGGGTAAAGGGGGCTAACAAAGTATGCAGAGAAACAGATGGACTACAGTCTGTAATTGTAGAACTACAAAGTGCACCTATATAGTAAGTGGAGCTGATAAAATGGACAATGAGCGTAGAAACAAGGAGGCGGTCATAATGTTATGCCTGCTCAGTGTATGTGTTACACATCTATGTTTGACTAAGCTGATAAATAGTTGAAATATGTTCCATATTTAAAAAAAGGTTAGCATGTATGTCACATATGTGGCCATATGTGACAAATATAAGCTGGAAATAAGGGAAATCCATATATGCTAATGTATGTCATACACTTGAAATCCATATATTGCCATATATCAGATGTCTGTAGGGGATTTCTGCAGAGTAATTGCTCATTTAAAAGCTCCTAGTTGGCTCTTTGGTCTGCACAGTCTTACTGGCTATGGTAACTACTCTAATTCTATATTTACTCTTCAGGTTCTCCTAGCAAGCAGCACAGTGAAACAATGGTGTGCTTGCTTGTTATGTAGTCTCACATGTATAACATATGTTACACTAATACTGTTATTGCTCAGAGTATGTGAACACAGTAGTAGTGTTGATGGAATGTATGTAATTCATGTAAAAATGATGTACATCTTTGAATCAAGTAAATTCAAAGTGTTGTTTTTTCACTGTAATGTTAAAGAGCAGCACACTTTCAACCAGAGTCTGATAAACAAACTCTAATGTATGCTGGCTTATAACAAAGCTTCTGAGTCATCCGAGCTGCTGGACGCGCTGCTGCATTTATTAAATGCATAGTCTTCAAAGTAAAACCCAGTCTATTATGAAGAACCACTTCTAGGTAAATTATATGCCCAACCATCATTTCTTCTGAAAGCAAAGGTATTAATAGAGAGCTTGCAGCAGTAACAAGATCTACTCTTCTGGGAAGGCTTTACACTAGATATTGGAACATTGCTATGAGGATTTGATTGCGTTGAGGCACGAAACATTAGTGAGGTCAGGTACTGATGTTGGATGCTTATTCCTGGATTGCTCCAGCTCAACCCAAAGGTACTGGATGGAGCTCCATCACTCCAGAGAATGCAGTCCCACTGTTCCACAGTGCTGGGGGGCTGTAGCAGATGCTTCGCAGTATAGTAGCCCACCTTTTTGGGTCATAATACAAAAAGGTTTTGAACATATCCTACTGTCCTGAAGGATCACCTGGGTTAATCTAATTGATTTTCTATTACATCAAATGAACGAAGCATGTGAGCTGATCCCAGTACATCAGGTTTTGTAACAACAAACCAAATGAAAGTCCATATTTGCATGACTATAACACTGTGGCTGTAGGTGTAATTAGTTTCAGCCGGTGGCCCGACTCCAATTATCCCACTTCAAAGCAAACAGCACCGTTACCAGGAAAAGCGTTGATGGGAAAAGTGCCGTTGTTCTCAAGCCGCTGTGTCATTGCCAACGTCAAGAGCGCGAGAAAAATGATGATATTACAGAAGCCACAATTTTAGGAAGTACAATAGATTATTTTAGGTGATCAGAGAAGAAACGTTTTGCAGTTTATATGCAGCACCGGTTTGTGGATTTGAGCTGATTATATAGTTGCTCTTCAAATTCCCATTTTTAAATTTACTAATTCCTTTTGTTCATGGTAGATGATAAAGTCGCCCCTGGCCAAATTAAATGTTTTGTTAATTTTCTAAAGTGGAAATAGTTTCGTCCTCTACAGGAAACACAGTTGAATATGGCATTTTTTTTCTGCAAACTTTAGTGCACACAGTGATTCATGGTTCTCATTTGGACTCTCATTGTGTTAGGGAATCCCTCAGTTTGTCACATGACTCCATCAGCCAATCACAAGCCACCCAGGAGATCCCAGTCACCTGAATATTGATTACCATCACCTGTGTTTCGTTGTATATAAGCCTGTCTGTGCCATGTCTTTGTGAAGTATTGGCCCTGGTCTGTCAGTGTGTACTGAGCTGTTCTTTGTTTGATAGCTGTCCCTTGTTTGATAGCTGTCCCATTCCTGACCGTGCTTTGTTGTCTTGTTGCTGATTCTCAGATTTGTCCTTTCGGCTTAGTCTACCTGTGTATGTTTGCTTGTTTGGTTACGACCCTCACTTGTTTATCTGTTATTGTCTTGGTGTTAACCCTGTTACTTCAGTTCATTCTCCTTTTAATTAACAGTTTATCTTTCATCCACGAGTGTCTGATTCGTCAACCCAGCGTTAGAATTTATTTGTTGAGTTTAACATGTTAAAAAAAACCTAGAGAACAACAAAATATAAAAACACACTGTATGTAGGATGTGTGAATATATTAATACTTAGAAAAGCAACAAAGCATGTAATTTGACCAGGTGCACATAAACATTTGCGTTTGGCTGTAATTGTGATCAGAAGTTTTTATTTGTTTTTTTTTTAGCATTTAGCATTTAGTACCAAACTATATCTATCTGAAATGAGAAGGGTAGGTACAGGATCAAATGATCCATACCTTCCTAACATAGTAGACAACACCATAATAATAATAATAATAATAATAATAATAATAATAATGTTTATTTATATAGCACCTTTCATACATTAAAAATGCAGGTCAAAGTGCTTCACAATACAAAGTAAAAACAACAGAGGAAGAACAGAAAAAAGATCGTCAAAAATAAAATAAATAATAAATAGCAGAAAAGATGATATATTAATTATTACAATTAAAAAGCACAAGATAAAAGTATAAATTAAAAAGACAAAAAAAACAATAAAAACTAACAAGAAAATAAAAGTAATAGTAATATTCCAGTAGAAACAAAGGGAAAAAAAGCTAGTTAAATAATAATAATAACAATAACAATAGTACAGATAATGGTAGCGTCTAAAGCGTCCCGATCCCCCACAAGCATTAAAACATGCCACATCTGTATAACTTAAATTACACTATCTTATCAAATTTTATCAAAGGTTTAAAGCTGAAAGCCTATCAAAAATTGGGATTGGCTTTATTGTTCCTAGTCGTTGAATGCTCTAATCTAATAATACAGTGTATTTAAACTCCTCCTTTTAAGGAACTCAAACCACCATTTAAGGATGTTTTTTTGGCAGCTGTTGAAGCTTTTATATATAAAACCCTCCACTGACTGAGAGAAAGATTGAGAAGATAATCATAATTCAACGGACAGAGGTTGGGCTGCTTTACAAAGGTTTTGTTGCATAAATTTGGCACCACATTCAGAACAAAATCCCATAATTTAGCAACCATTCAGCTGTGTTTTTAATATTAACCTAAACAGGATCATAGTGGGGTGTTAAACTAGGTCTATTATATGTATCCTATTCTTAACATGACTTTCTACACATTGTGAAAGATCCTCTTGTCTTGTAGACATTGGCCTCATGGGTTTTCACAAGGCTTTCACAGCTGAAAATGGGTTGATAATTGGCTGATAATGTTGCTAAATGAACTGAACTGGGAGCAGTTAATAGTGTAGATTAAATGTAGCTCTGTCCTGTGAGGGAGGTACTATGGTACTGATGCATCTGCGTGGGTTACAGGAGGAGTTCCGTATGGAGAGTGGTGACAGGCTGCTGGAGATGCTGGAGAGTGCTTTTTCCAGGAAGATGAACAGTCCTCAAGGCTCGTGGCTCATCTCGCTCAGCAAGCCCAGCAGACAGGAGCGCCAGCTGCTCATGACTCTAGCCAGCGAGCAGGGTAACACATACATACATACAGTCTCAGCTTATTTTGACAGGTAGAACAGAGTAGCCATAGACTGTACTGTTGAAGGCAATGGAATTCTATACTGCAGCCTCAAAGAAATTTCCTCCATAACTCTGCTGTCAGATTAACTAGGACACTGTTGGCTCTGTCTGAGTGAGACTCTGTGTTGAGCTGCTAGATTGAAAAGTGTCTTGCTACACTCCTCGCACGTGAGCCCTTCAATAGAGTGACTCAGTCAGTGAAAAATTGAAACGAACAAATACCATGAAACAACTGGGGAAAATGAGCCACAATGCTCTGAACAGACTAGAAACATTGGAAGCCTAAACAAAGATTAGTTCTTAATATGTTAGTTTTCATTCCGGATTTTAAAACACCTTTCAAGCACGCAGTATTCTCTGGAAAGCTATTCCAGAGTTTAGCAGCTGTAAGAAAATTATCTTCCACCAACTGAGCTGTAAGCAATCATAAAAGTTTTACAGCAAGCCTGTCTGAGTGAAGTGGTCTGAGCACACTGTAACACTTCACCAGATCAGATTGAAATCTCATGGCCAAGATCTTGTAGACAGTGCAGAACTTGATAGGAAGCCAGTGTGACCTCACTTAGGGCCAATCCCATTTCACCCCTACCACCTAGCCCTACCCCTCTGTTTTACATGTTCACGCCTAGGGATAGGGTGTCCCAGTTTTGGTTAGATAGAGGGGTAGGGTGAAGTGTTAGGGCTACATGGCCCTCCAAACAAAGGTTTTTCAGAGGCTCTCTCCAAACGGAGTCTAGTATCGCTAGTATTATGCTGATGTCCCAGTAGCTAGCTAAATTTCCCATTCCACCTAAATGGTCCAGCAATTCTGATACCTGAGGCACCAGAAGGGTAACTGCTGCTCCATTTAAGGTGGAATGGGAGAATTCAAACAAGAAGCTGGCGAATAGACTTCAGCTTCATATAACCAAAGAATTAGGGGTTGACGAAAATAAAAATTTGTCGTATCCCCCCTTTGAAGGCATATGATTCCCTAAATGTAACTAAAGCCCAGCAGTGAGGTTGCTGAACTTTACCCTTCTCTGCTATCACTGCAGACTGACAGGGTCGCCTACAGAGCATCACTAGTAGCCTGTTAATGAAGTAATGTTCTTTATTTGAGGGTCCCATTTCATAGGAAAAGATTTCAACCACTTCCCCTAGTAACTCAGTTCCAAGGGGCAAGGTGACACTCGAAAACAAGGGGTAGGGGTAAAAATAAAAAAATGGGATTCGGCCTTAGTCTGCATAATCAGAGATGTAGAGATCTTTCAGTTTTTATCAATACACATTTTTACACTACATCATGTTAAATGTTGTTTTATTCATGTTTTTAGGTGTGATTGCCACTAAAGATGTGCTGTCAATGTTGGGAGAAATGAGGAGAGGCTTATATGAGGTATGACCATCTCACCTGCACCACTGATCACCTGCTTTTTAATGGGGCCCCCTATAGCTTATCTGTTTAAACTGTTAACAAACTACTTATTGGAAACTCAAAAGGGTTAGGGTTAGGACCAGTGTTAAGATTAAGGTTAACTTTAGATTTTGGCTTGAGGTTAAGTTTAGTGTTCAGGTGACTGGGAGAATAAGTGGTTTATGATTAGGAAAAAGAAACTATATTCTACATTTTTCCATATTTATATAGTCCATCATAAGGTTTTATGCACTAAAAATTGGTTATAATTTTTTTATTACCGCTTTCCCCCCTATCTTTTTTGTTCCTCTGCTTTTAAGACTGATATATGTAAATGATGTCTGGCTTGGTTGCCTTTGCAATTGAAATAAGTTACATCACTTTCTGAAGTCATCAAAAAAATTACTTCAGCCACTCCTTTGGGACTGCAATAATCCATTTTCATCCTGACAGCCAGGAACAGCACAACATTTAATCACTGTCCACTCCAATACCCACAGGAACAACACCCTGCATCACTTCAACGTGAAAATAGGTGGAAATATGTAAATGTGTTTACATCACAACTATGATCAATTCAAAAAGATTTTTCTTTTCAGCTTAGTCTGCATATATGGAGTTTACAGCAAATGTTTACAGTATTTTACATCAGGTTTTACAGTATATTGGGCACTTTAAGTTGAATTTAATAGGAATTTAAATGTTCTGCCTGATTCAGATTGGCATTCAGAACTTCTCCAGTGTCAGCACCTGTCACTCCAGGCCCAGCCAGACGCGCAGTGACTACGGTAAGCTGTTTGTGGTGCTGGTCATCATTGGCTCAGTGTGCGGAATCATCATTGCGTCTGGCCTCATCTACATCTGCTGGCAGCGTCGCCTTCCCAAGATGAAGAACATGGTAAGTGTTATTCAACATGAAGATCAGTTTTACATGATTATCCAGAAGTTTGGAAGCAACACTAACTTCATAAAAATAAATATAATTTTTTTTTTTGTTATGATTAAGGATGTAAATTTCCAACCTGAGTAGGATTTGATTATGATTCTTTAGGATATCTGAAATTTTAAATACAAAATATCAAACAATGAATGTGCCAATGTGACTGAAGAAACAATTTACACAGTAGTATTAGCACCTCATGGATTTGATTTTAACTCACTCACTCACATTGAGCAGGCTGAATGTTCACCACATGGGGCCGCTATGAGAACTCAAATAGCTTTTATTTATTTATAAGATTGGTGCTTTGCATCAATGACACTGTGTGTCCTTGTTAATGAAATCAAAATGACAGATGTTTAGCCTTTAGACATTATATGGAGTATTTCAGCCCAGACAGCTTTTTGAATGAGGCAAAGTACAGGGGAGCCAACAAAACAGAGGCTTGTTTACATATATATGTCTTAGAGACACAGTAACAAAAACAACCTGTTTAATTCTAAGGGGTAATGGGGGGTTGGAAAGTGGTCATGTAAAAATTAATTATGACTGTTTTTGATACACACAAAACACACACACACACACATCATCTAAATCGCTTATCCTTCTGGGTCACGAGGACCACACAAAGCATTACATTATAAACTGACCTCAAGGAAAAAGATAAAAAAGCAAGAAAAACATGTTTAAACATGGTGCGTTGTTTTAGATCTTTGCAGACTGATGTAAAATATTTTTGAAAGCTTAAAATTATTAACTGCTTGCTTCCATACTTTTGGCCTGTAGTCTATATGCAGGTTGAATGGACCTCAATCACTGTGATCCAAATGTGGATCTACACCAGGATTGTGTATCCTGTGTTTGATTGGCTGTGATTACATGCTTTGTCTCTCGCAGAGATTCTCCGCTGTGTTTTTGCCCAACACTTTGTTTGCGCCTCCACCGCCTGCCATTCATCTGATCTGCTATGCATTCACCTCATACACCTCAAATCCAAATCTGACAGAGGTTTGACATGCAGTGATGGTCTAGGGCTTAGAGCAGGGGTACCCTAGCATCCTGAGTCAACATTAAGCCATAGTTTAGTGCACAGTGCTGGGTAGATCCCCTTAAATGCATGCCTTTACAGATATTTGTTACAACCACACGTCTCCAAACATTAATTATTCAGGCCTCCCTGGATATGTTACATGGTTAAAAATCTGTGCCTGGTTGAAACAAATATGTGAGGCATGTGCTTCCTACCTGAATGTGGATTGTGAGTGTCATACTAGAAGAAATATACATATCGCTGCTGTCGCAACGAAACCTTGTATCTCCATTTTTGTAGTTTTTCAGTTTTTGACATAATTTGAAATAGTTTATTGCCCTTTACATTGTGTGTAAATTTCATGGCGAATGAACCAATAGAAATGGTCCAAAAATGCTAGGAAAAAAGTCTGGTTCCATTGACTTACATTAAAAGTAAAGTAGGTTTTTTCATTCTCCTGTAAAGTTCTCATTTTGGAGATATGAGGTTTTGTTCCGACAGCAGCGATAAGTAGTTGTTAAAGGGATAGTTAGACAATTTTCCAAGTCCCCCCTTAATGTAAGTGATCAGCCAAGACGTGTTTTAAAAAATTGCCTCTTTAGTTTTGCTTTGGAGCTAACTGGCTAATATAGCTAACAAGTAATGGAAGGTTATTCATGCCATAAGTTTTTCTCAACCTTGGAAATGGGAAAGCTTGGAATTACATCCTTTGCGACCATTCCACATTCAACCTACAAAGTATGAAAAAACATGGACACCCCCATTAAAGCAAGTATTAGCTACAAGTGAGCTAACATTAATAATTAGAGTGATAACTTTAATGTTTGTGATGTGTTTACCTAATCAGAACAAAGCAAACAGGTCAGTGTCATTGATTTAACCAGCTAATGTGTCTGTATGTTGATTGATTTAAACGTCTATGCTACTTTAATCTCATTTAAAAGCAGAAAACTGGTGCTTGATTATTGCTGACAGTGTGAGCAACCATACTGATATGACCTCATACACTGCACCTGGTGTTCAGTATACCTTCCCGACTTTCTGAACAGGAATTTCAAGTTGAAGAGGAGTTTTCTTTGATTTTTCCCAGTCTGAGGTCAGAAATTCTGAGACATGAGCTTCAGTCAAACGCAGCATTAGCTGACTTGTACCATTAGCGTAATTGATCCAGTGCAAAACTAAAGGAAACTAAAGAACTCTGGAATAGTTTAATGTGATACAGATACTGTATCACATATCAGCAGCAGGACCTACCCTCTCTAACTACAGCTGTTTCATTGAGGAGATAACATGATAAACTAATAAATAAAAAAAAATAAAAACCTATCAGTAATACTCAGATTTATCTTAGGATTTATATTTATTTTAAGTACCATAAACAGCTGATAGTAACTATCCAGATCAATCAGATTTTTTTTTTTCATAAGTACTTATCCTGGCTCTGAGGAAAACATTTTAAGGCTTGCCTTGCTGACTGTCAGAGTTTTAGCATTTAATAAACCTAAGAGAAGAGAAAATAAACAAAAATGACTGCTTAAACTAAGCACATATTGTTTCATAGTAATAAGCCACAGAATGGACCACCATCAAAATCCTGGTACTTTTTGATAGTCTATAGATTGAAAGAAAAAAAAAACTAGAGGTGCCAAGTTTTTGATTAAGAAATTGCCTGATTCATAACAATATCAAAATTCTGTTCGCATTCACATCTCAAATTATGACATATCTGAGTAGCCTGGGGTCTCCTGAAAATAATGTTTGCCATGTGTGACTGTCTGATGTAAATACCCCCCACAATTAGCCTAGGGTTCTAAAGATTACTTACGATCTTTATGATTACTACAGATTATACTTATCTAAAGCAGCTGCATTGTTTCAGCACCTCGCTCCAGCACTCTTACTACCTCCCAGCTTTAGTGTTGTTAATAAGTTTTAATAATATGTTAAGAGTACTGAATCAGGAACCCAGTATCCTGAATCAAACTGAATCGTGAGTTGAGTGAATCATTAAACATATACATAACATCGCTGTTGAAACAAAACCTTCAAAATCTTCAAATTGTTTGTTAAAAGTTAAAGCAACAAGATGTTATTCTAGGTCATTTTGGACTGTTTCTATTGGTCCATGCGTCAGAAAATTGTGATACAGTGTAAAGGGTAACTGCCGTTTTAGATGCTTGTGACAACAAGAATGGAGATACAAGGTTTTGTTGACAGTAAGCAAGTCCATTTGGGATTACTTAACAACTCAGTGCAGTTTGAGGCAACAGTGTGATGGGCAGGCATGCAGTTAGAACAATGCTGTTCGCTTGTTAGCTACTGTAACTCCAGTGCAAAGCAGAAAACTTCAGGCACCAAACTTGGCTGATTAACATTGGAGGTAGTCTGACTATTCCTGAGAGTGAGCAAGTGCTTGTATCCTTGTAGGTACACAAGACATTGTGCACCTAAATTGAAGTGATCCTTTGTTTTCTTTGAGAGTTGATTGCTTACTGCTAACTCTATCTCTCTCTCTCTCTCTCTCTCTCTCTCTCTCTCTCTCTCTCTCTCTCTCTCTCTCTCTCTCTGTGCGTCACAAGTCGCGAGGAGAGGAGCTCCATTTTGTGGAGAACGGCTGCCATGACAACCCCACACTGGACGTGACGAGCGACGGCCAATCGGAGATGCAGGAGAAGAAGCACAGCGCCAACGGAGTGCCGGTGGGCGGAGGAGGGGGGAGTGGCTGGCAGGTTCTGGTCAACAAGCCGGGCAAAGAGGAGGAAGACAATCAAGAGGAGGACACCCACCTTTAACAAGGGGGGCTGGAGATGAATGAAAAAGAAAAAACCTGTTACGAAAAGGAGGCGTTCTGTCCTGGACGTTTGTGGCACAGAGCTTTTTTTGTTGTTGTTTTTTTTCCAGAAAACATCTGCTGAATATTTCAAGTGATGTTGTTTGGCTTGTACGGTCTTTTATTTATCTGTACCCGCGAGGGTACAGTTACAACAGGCTTTCAGAAATCAGATCGATACAGAATGGGTTGATTCTTTAATAGAGGCAACAGTAAAACATGGGCGTATTGATCTTTTGACAGCGCTAATTGATGAGCATTAGGGTGGGAGCACAAAACCCAGAGCTATGAATGCTATTGGCATATTAATTAGCCAGTCGGGTTGCCAAATGTCAAATGAGATATTTCAGCAGCATTTTGTAGAATGTTAAAGCAAAGTATTACGACTAGCAACTACAGTATGAGCATACTCCGTTTTAGTTATATGGATGCATCTAGTTACGCTGTTCGAAGCAGCACATTAGCACATTGTATTTTAACATGGTGAACGCCGACTCGAAGCCTACATTGCCTTGCTCTTTAATTGCTTGTTGGAATGGCCGCTCTGACAATGATCCGTCTTCAACGTCCTGTGTTTTCAGCTTTACGGTCCAGGGAGGGGGTCTGAGATATTCGCTGTACGTGTTGCTAGGGAAGAATTGCACTGAAGAGGGCTGGGTTTGTGAAACAGACAGCTAAATGTCAATCAGTTCAACTGTTATGCCAAAGCAGAACAAGGCTGAAGTCGGCCACTTATTTGGCAGCTTCTTATTGGGATTTTCCAGTGCAGCAGTTACATTGTGGCAGATAAGAAGCCAGCTTCAGCTTCAACAAAGCAGAGGTACAGCAAAAAAAAAACAACTTTAATACAAGGGAGCGTCTGCCTCTGATTTGTGTATATCTTCAAAGAATGTTGCCGTTCAGTCGAAGTCAATTCACTTGAGTGAAGATATTAATATCCCTGTGGTTTACAGTACAGTCAAGTTGCCATATCTGCTGTTCAACGACTGCATAAGTTTCATTTGTACCAAACCAGATGGTCTCAGTATCTGCTATCTATCACAAGTGACAGTTCCTATGTAACCTGCTCATTTTAAGTGCATGATGTCATTATAGTAATAAACCCTAAGCACATATCAGGGGGTGACCGTGGCTAGGGTCAGACGTCTAATAGCTGTGACAAACCTAGATGTACCTGGATAGTTCAGTATATCGGTTTTCTGTATGCTACATACACGCATTGTTCCAGTTGAAAAAAAAATGAAAATAGAAGAGGCTGATATTGATAATCATAGAATAAGCATAGTTTTTTGTATCCTACAGTACCTGTACAGTTATGAGAGCTATTTGCAAATTGCACTTTTTTTTCATTTTGATGTTTATCTCAATTGCTTTGTATGGAGAAACTCTCAGCCGCTTTATATGGAAAGTTTGTACGGAGAAACTCCGGCCTCATTGTGTTACTATCTAATGTAATGTTAGGTTTGACCATTTTGAAATGCAAGGAAATAAATGTTCTGAGAAGTTAAGCTGATGCTGCCAAGTGTTTGACCAGAGAGGGGGGTGGGTGTTGATGTAGCAGTGGCGCCATCCAGTGGTGATACAGTTGCATGCAAACGTTTGCAAAATGTTCTGCTGGGTAAAAAATACATGAACATGTTTCACAGGAAAAATTCCTATAGGAAAAAATTAAAACATAAAACAATCTGCCAAAACTTTTGCACAGGCCACATTTTATGTGTAACTTTTTTCCCATTCTGTTAAATTCAACAGTAATTGTGCATTAAAATGTGCAGAAATGTGTTCTCTTTTTTTCAGCAGGGTTGTGCCGTATCTCCAGCCAGTATGCTCTCTGATATCACATGAACACATAAGACCAAGCTGGCAAACGCAGCAAGAGTAATTATCTGGATGGATTTCTCAACTTCTGAATCATAATGTTCATAAATGATTATAATCTTAGGGCTATCAGTAGTGAACAGGCAAGCCGTATCAGTGAGCAGTCGACACTAAATAAATTCTTTGCAGTAGGCGATATCGTTGGTCCATTAAGTGGCATAACTAAGAAAAAAATGGGCCCCCATTAATCTTAAAATGATATGCTTGTTTGCTCACTACTGCAATGTCTCAATCAAAACTGTAGGCTATGGTTGATCTATATTAGCATAGCTACCAATAGGTGCAGAATCGCACAAGCACCAATATTTAAGATGCATTCCGGCCTAGAATAAGCATTTAATGTCATTTTGTCATATTATGTAATATTCTGGAGGGCAAAAGTGCATCCCTCAGCCCTCAGTTTGACAGAATTCACAATTTTGTATCTTTTTTATGCATTATGCAAACACATGCATCCACTGGGAATCCTGGCTCACTGCATTAAAACTGATCTGACTGATCTTCAAGATACATCATCCTAGTCTGTCTTTAAACAGGAAAATGCTGCTCGAAAGCAGAGGTTCTTAACCGTAGAGGTCGGGATGCCCTTGGGAGTGGTGCTACAGGACGTATCAAACAGAGAGAAAATAATTTTGACAACTGCATACAACTGAATGACTCCACCTACAGGCCATGAGTGAGCTTGTTACTAAGGGAAGGTCTTAATTGGTTTGTGGTGAAGTGCTAGCTAAGGAATCCAGGCCCTGTAAGTGAGTAGACTTATTATTTGATTATTCTTCTGTTAATTATTTAATATGTATACTGGTGTGTGTGTGTGTGTGTTTGGGGTGGCTGAAGGGTGGTGGTGAAATATTTTAAACCCCAAAAAAAGGTTACGCTGTGAAAAAGGTTAAGAACCTAGTCGAGAGACGACTGTGGCATGTTTTCAACAGTTGGATGGTTAAATTTCCCATGTTTGCTAGAGTGCCCCTTTAAGAGGGCTATGATGTTACCATGGGCCCCATGTGCCATTTTGATATCTGCACCAGAGTTATTATAGTTAACTAAAATTATCACTAAAGCAAAAACTAGCTATGAAAAAAATGTACTTGTTAAATGTATTAAAAATAAAAAATGACCCTTTTAAAAACAAATCAAAACTACAATGTCCACTGAACAACTGAGGGAAAAAAAGGTAGTTTTTGTTTGTTCAGTGTGTGAATGAGAGTTTAGAAGTGGAACTCTTTTGTGTTTGGCCGTCTTTAAGGAAAGCCTGAGCTGAGCTGAGCTCAGAGTACTGCTGTGCCAATTTTTATACCTTAAGATATTACTACAAACTAAAACTAAAACTGAAACTAAACAAAAACTAAAGTTATTATTTTGCAGAAAATAAAAACTAAACCTTAAAACTACCTGAAACTAAACAAAAATCAAACACCAACATTAAAAACTAAATGAAAATAAAAACTAATATCAATTTCACTATAATAACCCTGATCTGCACTGACGGTACATCACTGGGTCCATCCTGTACATTCATTTTTCAAATTATAAATTTACCAGTTGTTGATGACCACCTAAACACAAAGAACTAGTGAAGTAACAGAAGTTGACGCGGACCACCTGAAGGCACCACTCATCTCATTCAGATAAAGCTGTTGTATACACACACATTTTAATGAACCTCTTTCACTCTACATGCATGTTCAATATCACTTACATAACTGAAATACTCCGGTGCACAACACTCAGAATGACAGCCATAACACAGGACCACAGACAGCTTTATACATACATAAGTCGATCAACCAAGCAGTTCTAATAGTGTTTTTGTGACATTCGCCCTTCTATAGATTTGCAAATTTACATGCTTTAGATAATCAAGGATATTGCTATGTTTTAATGGGCGAGTCACACAGAATTACTGGTCAAAGGCCTCCGTTGGCCAGCAGCAGTTTCAGCTGTTCATGATTGGACTCTGACATGCAAAGCATGAGAGGATAAAGTTTCCATTTCGTACTATATTCTGTTGTCGGTTTTCCATTGCACTGTGAAACCTGCTGCCTACATGATTAAAAATAAGAACATAATAACACAAAAACAGCAGCTCATTTCAGCAATAAAAGGCAGATTTCTGATAAGATTGTCTGAACAATCACAAGACTTCTCGAGCCATAGCAAGATGAGTTAGTGTCGCTGATCTAGTCACTGCTACATTCAATGATGCAGAGTTTACAAAAAAACATGCCTATCTCTAAAAGAACAAGCAGAAACTAAATAAGTAAAAAGAAAGGAAATCTGCAGAGATCGCAAAAAGAAATCAAGCAGCATAATTTGGCAATTCTTGCTACAAAAAACCAAACATTCACATAAAAACTGTAAACTGATTTTGCCATTCAGTAAACTCTCAATAAAAATAATGACATTAAAATAAACATAACGGATTAAATGGTGCCTCTGCTACAGTAAACACATGTATAAACGTTCTTGCTCCGACAGTAAAACACTGAAAGAAACAAAACACTAAGGTTCCACATTAATATGGCCATTCATATTGCGATACAGGAAAAATGCTTAATCAAAGTAATAATTCTGCATAAAGATGGAATCCAAGCCTTTGAAGACAGGCATGTAGTTGTAAATAAGAGCCTTTTCCTCCTCCTGTGGCGTGGGGAAGCGATGCTGGTTTTTCATAGCTGCAAGAGAAAGAGTGGTTTTCAGTTAAATTACAGAAAAATCTAGTTGAATATTTGAAAAATGTTCTATTTCCTCTGCTCTTGTACATTTTGTAGGGTTTTATGTATTACTATTCAATTTTTTATAGCTTTTCCTGCTGCCTTAGAATTCAACAAGCCATTTTAGCTACTGTGTCTTTAAGACTAATATGTAAATGTGCTCTGTTCTGATTAACTTTCCCTTTCAAAAGCGTTTCAAAAAGTAGTCTTGAGTGAAACGTGCAGTAACACTCATCACTACAGTGTGATACCCCAGGCTTGACTGCTGTGAGCTGAATAGCTTCATGGATATGATATCACAGACTGATCCATTTAAAATGGGCTGTTTTTCTAGCTTAGTTTCTTTGAATTGACTATGTACTGTGGAGTGAGCGGTATATTTTAAAACCAATACAATCTTTAACTGAAAATTAATTTTTCCACATTATGGGACCTTAAAAATCCAACAAACTACATCCAACCTTCGGAGACGAAGAAGCTAGCTGTGTAGAAGGACGCTCTAATGGCAGAGACAGAGTGGACCATGCCAGGCTTGTCTATCCACTCAAAGGGGCTCTTCTCAGGGTGCCACTGGACTGCGTAGAATGGGTATCGGTAAGCTGCAAGATCACAGAGTTAATATGGTTAAAATGGAGCTCTGAACCGTTTCTTTCTACCTACTTTCTGTTTCCATTTTCCAACTAGTTCTTAACTGAGAATACTAAGGAGCCCTGCTGGTGACATCCTGTAAAATAACAAATAATGCGTGGCCACGCCTTATTAACGCGTGGGAACGAGATCCCAATGCGTGGCCACGACTTAGTAAGGCGTGGGAATGAGATGATTAAGTCGTGGCCACGACTTAGTAAGGTGTGGGAACGAGATCACGGCTTACTAAGTCGTGGCCATGCATTAGGATCTCGTTCCCACGCTTTACTAAGTCGTGGCCACGCGTTATTTTTATTTATACAGGATGTCACCAGCGGGGCTCCGTAGAATACAGCATTTCTTGTCGTTATTTTGATTAGGCTATTGGTAATGTGCAGCCAAGGACTTTAAAACATTAGAATGGTAACTGGCATTTGAGGTTAAAAGGGCCACATCCTACATTTGTCTTCCATTGATCTCATTCATTCCATTCATCAAAATTTGGGTGGAGTTATGAATCAAAAACAATCACAATTCATTTTAACATGACTATTTTCCAACCTCTCTTTATCCCTTAGAATTAAACTGGATGTCTTTGTTATTGTGCCTTTAAGACTGATGCAGTCTGGGCTGAAACACTCCTTATAACTTCAGAGTGAATGAGCAGAGATAACCTGTATCACAAAAACAATGGATTTAAAACGGGTTGTTTTTTTGGCTTTTTTTCCATATATGGACTTTATGGACTGGGGACAGAGATCTGCACAGGCTTGATTATTCATGCTTGCAACCGCCTGATTCAATGTTATGCTCGCCTGCACCTGCAAAATCTAGTGTCATTCTTGCCCTCCTTGTGCCCACTATAACTATGTCATGCCTGCCCACGCCTGCCTACACTGGGCTATGGTCCTTGTCAGCACCCACCAGCATTCAAAATCTGCACCATGGCACAGAGCTCGGCCACATAACCCTCCGTGACACGGCAGAACAGACTCCAGACCCATCATACTTCCACACAGCCAGGTACAAAAATAAACATTTGAATGTTGGAACATGGATATAAATATTTTGTATGTATTTAGGCAACGCAAAACTGCAAGAAATCGCACATGGTGATGCTCATGAGCATTGTGATGTTTCTATTGACAGTCAAGCAGCTTGGCTTGACTGTATGTATCAACATTATTAACTAATTACACTACAAAGCATCTACAAGAGCAAAAACATGAACAGAAAAAATGCAGTTAGATTTTATGTATGCATTCTTCAATGGAGAGTATACAGCTTTATCATGAGGATGCATTATGTAATAATTATTAACATTTTCTTCTCTGTTGGATGCTTGCAGCTTATTGGTTGCGTGCCCGTACACTTCCACAAGCAACCAATAAGTGTACAAGCCCGCTCCGTCCAGCAAACCATAAAACCTACCCACACAAGCTCGCAACTTCCTGGCTGTTTACATGCTATGACCACGATGCTTCAAAACGCCTTGTGTAGATCTCTACTGGGGTGACTGGGGTACTTTGAAACTTTAACAATTTTACATAATACATTAAAATCTTGCTTAGGAAAAAAAGAGTAAATAAAATTCAGTTTTTCATGAAAAACTTAAGTGCTTTTTACTGACAAGACCATGGTAGTTGTTCTTTCAGCTTAATGCAAAAACCCTACAAAGGAGAGACACTACAAGTACAAACTGTATGGTGAAAGAATGTGGTGCATACTGCCTGAACTGAGATGCAGTAGGTCTGGTCCTGTAGTCAGTAACGTTTATATCATTTATTTAACACAAATCAGCTGACTCCTGGCAAATTAAGGTTCAAGCACTAACACACTGCTAAAAGGATCCCATGACCACACTTCTGCCGAAGCAGTGCTCCTCACCTTCCATCGTAGAAATGAACTCTTTTCTGCCGTCTGTGTTTATGGTCAGAACTTTGTAGAAACGCTTGAGTTTGGCATTGCGAGTGTAATTCTGTTAAGAAAAGCAGATCTGAATAAGAATTTTCTGTTTCATGTATTTATTCCTGGTCTTGTATTGAAATACAATATTAAACAGTACCTGTACAGACAAGCTCCAGCTATGGAAGTTGGATGTGATGTTCTCCTCTGAAAGAGAGAGAAGAAGGTCCTTTGGAAAGCTTTTGAACAGCCGACTGTTCTGTGCTCCTGCAACATCAAGCAAAAATGAGTCAATCACCTTTGGTTCGGACCCGCAAGGTCACAAAAATGGAAATCTGAATTTAAAGGAATATATTAAGCAAACAGGCTAATGTGGCAAACAGTAATAAGGAATACAGTTGGACCCAATGAGTGTGTAATTTCTATAATGCTAATTGGAGGCTACTGGACTGAACTATTCCTTTAAGGTGTGGTAGAGAGATTTAAGGTGGAGAGAGAAACCACTAACCCTGGGAAAAGATGAGTGGCAAGGCCACAGCCTTGGTGTTTGTTAAGGTCAGCAGGTTTTTGTTGCTAGTAAGGACGGTCAGCTGTTGAAAGCCCTGACAAGTTCCCCAAATTGGAAAATAATCCCCTGCATCGTTGGCCTACAGGAAATACAAGTGAAAATAGTTGCATAGAAGCTTAACAGACCTGGGGCCTGTCTCACAAAGCAAGGTCAAGTTTTAACCTGTTTTTTTTTCCTACAGTGGTCAACAGCTTTTGCTGTTAACACAGGTTTAGAAACTCAAGCTGCGATTATTCCTTGTGTGTGTGCACATGAAAGCGCAATGTTTATGAAGAACAGCCAATCACATGAGAGTTGAGGGAGAGTTGAGCTGCTTAGAGAAAAAAATGTAGAAGATAAAGCAGTTACAATGGAAAAAACTACACTCTTAAAAAAGATGCTTTTTCAAGGGTTCTTTAGTCATGAAAATGGTTCTATATAGAACCATGAACACTTAAAGAACCCTTTGCATGTTTAAAGGGTTCTTTGCATCATGTAGGTGTTCTTCAGGTTGTTCACGAATTTGCTTTAAATGGTTCTATATAGAAACTTTTTGAAAAGGGTTCTATACAGCACCCAAAAGCATTCTTCTATTGTTACAAGCTTAACATCATGACAATAGTAGAACCCTTTTACAGAACCGTTTTCAAATATGCAAAGAATCTTTTAATCATGCAAAGGAATCTTTGAGTAATCATGGTTCTACATAGAAACATTTTCTTTGCTAAAGAACCCGTGAAGAACCATCATTTTTTAAGAATGTGTCAACGCTGCCACTGTATTAGTGCTTTTTGGAGTAATAAAAAAACATCGCAATATCATATATTGTCATATATTCATATAAATGACAATATATATGAATATATTTGACATATATTCATATATTATTTACTAAACTAATATAGTACTAATGACACCCAAAATATAGTCAGAAAGGTGTATCGTTTATCCTGATACCAAAACATATTACAATAAAGTTTATACAGGTTATGATCTGAAATACTGAACTTCACCTGCCCTGGAGCAGGTTAGGCGTGTAGCATATGGTGATCCACCGTCAAAAAATCCTGGGTTGGATTGTATCTTAAATGCTGGCTAAGCAAGAAATCCTGCTTAGTGAGACAGACCCCTGCATCTAATACACCACACTGAAAGTCTTTCTGTCAAATTCTTTTTGGCTGAAAAGACAGTATCTCACATTAATTTACAAAAATGATGCTGCTACTGATCAAGATGTACCATACCTTGATTGCCAGTTCATAGAAAATCTTGGCCATGCGGCTGAACTGGGACTTCTGAAGGTCAACATCTCCACCTGGCAGTAACAACCTAGAATATGAAGACAGTGTGATTATATAAAAGCCTTTTCTAACCTCTGAATCAATAAGAACACAAACTCTAAATTTTCTACTACATAGAACACCAACCCGTTTATTGCGTAGAATATTTCGGTGTAGTCCTCTTCTGTGCCATTTATCCTGAAGAAAGAGGTATGCTTTAAATTAATATGTTAGATGTTAGATAGCACGTTAGATCCTCACGGATTACGTGGATTGGGAATATCCACAGCCTACCTTATTGGTACAACCCTTGCACCAGCTGACTCCAAATACTTTACATAAGAAGCAGCTATGTAGGAGGATCCTTGGGCATGAGGGTCACCTTCTAAGTTCTCTTGGGCCAGAACACCTAATAAATAATAGTAAAGGAGATCTAGATAAGGCGAGTTGTAGTGAAATGGTTTCTAACAAGCTCTGTTTTGTCAAAAAAGCCACAGTTTTATTAAATCCAGACAGGCTGTTAATACCACTAAAACCATAACACATTTCAGAAAAGCACAGCTAAAGGAGAACTCCACCAGGTTTTCAAAAATCCTACATAATTAAATGGTTGAGATGTTAGCAAAGTCAGTCAGAGAGGTCTGATGTGAAATGCTATGTTCTAGTAAACTTGCTGAGTCAGAACTGTTCACAGTGGTGGTAATAGGAACCAGACATCCACTTCTAAAAGCCCCCTCATAGAATTACATGAAATGGTTAGATACATGCTGTCTGATGTCTGAGATGTGGTTGTATGATAGTTTTGTGATGAGGGTTTGGCTTAAAATGCATTTTAATACATTTCTTTTAATCTATTCATGTCGGAGGGGTACATGCAGGGGGTTGTGAGTCAAAATAGTCCCCAAAAACTTATTTTTTCAGCTTTACCACTATTTTAAACTTATCAACGTTACATTAAAAACTCAGGAGACGTGTAGATTCACTGGCAGTTTTGGTCTGTATATAAAATGGCTATATTTGTGCTGTAAACATGGCGAACCCTGGTTCGTATCACCACCACTGTAAGGTCTCTACAATGAATCATGTCACATCAAACTACCCCGAATTACCCTGATTACATCTCACAGATTTAATTATTCCGGAATTTTGAAAAATCGGTGAAATTGCCCTTTAACAATAATGGCGAGGTGTTTCCAGAACATTCCAGAGAATCGCAAGCTGTGTCAGTGTACCGTTACCGGTCCAAAATGCACATCAATACAGGGCATGAGGGACATTTAAGCGTGTTGATGGTTCAACCCACCCCATTATAACCTGCTAATAGAGGCCCGGGAGTCGAGTATGTGAATGAAAATGTTCAGCGAGGTCGTTTTAGCTCGGCTTACCGATTACGGGTCTGTAATTGAGATGGACGCTGCCTAAAGCCGGGACAGGCAAACTGCAGGCACACGCGGCGAGCACCGCCAAAACCACGGCCGGACGACACATTCACTTCAGGTGTCAGATGAATAGACGAATTAAAATGTAATCAATGAAAGCTGAGGTTTAAATGTAAAGCGGTTCTGCCTCTTGTCCAGTAGTGGCGGTTAAACAGACCCCCCTTAGCTCGCCTCCCAGCTTCCTGCTCACTGGAGGATGAGAAGAATCTGGATGCTCGCGCTGCTGCTGCTGCTGCTTCTGCGCGCGAACTGTAGCTTAGCAACAGCTAAAGCGCCTAAAGCGCAGCCTCAGAGTCTCGGCGACAAAATAAAGAGAGACTAAATTAAAGGACAAGATTTGCGTGTTAACCGCTTTGATTAATCAAAAAATACTATTAAACTAGAAATAATAGAGGAAAAACTGTTTCTCAATCCTCGCCCAGCTGACCTATAGGTGTGGAAACCCATTCCCATCACTTAAAACAAACAACACCTAATTATTATTTTTCATTCTTCAGTGATCTGCTATGCCATTATTTAGCCATGTTAAGTATTCTCATTAATTTGAGATGCTAAGCCATTATTTTGAGATATTATCTGATTATTTCAGATGCTAAGCCATTATTTAGAGATTCTCTCATTAATTTGAGATGTTAAAGCATGATTTGGAGATATCATCTCATTAATTTGAGATGCTAACTCATTATTTTGAGATGTACTGTAATAATTTGAGATGCTATTTCATAATTTTAAGATATTCTCATTAATTTGAGATGCTAAGTCATTATTTTGAGATTTTATCTCATTCATCAGGGATGCTAAGTCATCATTCTGAGATCTCATTCATTTGAGATGCTAACTCATTATTTTGAGATGTTACTGTAATAATTTGAGATGCTACTTCATAATTTTAAGATATTCTCATTAATTTGAGATGCTAAGTCATTATTTTGAGATATTATTAATTTGTGATGCTGTCATTACTTTGAGATATCTCATTAATTTGTGATGCTGTCATTATTTTGAGATATTATCTCATGAATTTAAGATATTATCTCATTAATTTGAAATGCTAAGTCATTATTTTGAGATATTATTCATTTGTGATGCTATGTCATTACTTTGAGATATCTCATTAATTTGTGATGCTGTCATTATTTTGAGATATTATCTCATAATTTAAGATATTGTCTCATTAATTTGAAATGCTAAGTCATTATTTTGAGATATTATTAATTTGTGATGCTATGTCATTACTTTGAGATATTATCTCATTAATTTGTGATGCTGTCATTATTTTGATATATTATCTCATTATTCTGACATGCTTTCTCGTTATTTTGAGAAGCTTTTTGTTATTAATATTTACTGATTTATACTGTCATCTCAAAAGCATAAAGCAACTCCAAATAAAGAGAAAGCATCTCAAAATAATGAGAATGTTTCTTGAAATAATGAGATAGCATTTCAAAATAATGACGTAGCATTGCAAAATAATGGCACGTAATAACAAAAAATAATAATTAGATGCTGGATTTTTTATTTAAATGGAGGGAATGGGATTCCATACCTATAGTCTACATCCCTGCAAAAATAAATTAACAAACAAACAAACAAATAAATAGGTACACAATGCAAATGAGGGGGAAAGCATGCTTATATAAAAATACACTTTTTATTAATGCACATCAGTTGATTTGGAGTTTCCCAGTCCTGGCTCTACTGACCTATAAGTCTACCTAACTATAAAAAAAATAAAATAAAAAAATCAAGATAAATAGAATAAATATTTAAATATTAAATAAAATTGTTTTAAGTAATAAGACTTAAATCAATTGTTTGGGCAGTGGTTCCCAATCAGGTCTTCTGATTATTTTGATATCCTAAATCACCTTATCAGAAGGTAAGTAGTAATGTTAAAGGGAAACTTCACTGATATTTTAAAAATTTCTGCACAATCCAGTGCTTGTGATATATTCAAGTAAGTCATTCAGAGTGGTTTGATGTAAAATGTGCTGTTTGATAGTAGTCGTGATGGTAACCAGGGGTCTTGATTTCTACAACACAAATAGGCATATAGCCATTTTATTTACTCTCCAAAATCACCAGTGAACCTACATGTGTCTTCTGAGTTTTCAATATGTAACATTCATAATAAGCAAATAGTAGGTAATCCAAAAAAATACGTTTTCTTTGGGGACTATTTTGCCTTACAACACCCTGCATGTAACCCTCCGCCATGAATGGGTTTTAAAAGTTTTTGGCCAATTCCTTATGGCAAAACTACAGTAAAACAGTGTCTCAGGAATCACACAGCTTATTTGTAAACATTTTATGTAATAATTTTTCTGTGACGTAGCTTTTAGATGTGCTCAGATGTTTCTATCACCACCGTTCTGAGAAATTCTCGCTTGTAGGTTTCTTTAGAATGATGCATTTTGCACCAAAAACAGTCTGGATGATTTCATTTACATCTTAATAATTGGATTAATGTAAAATTTTTGAAAAATTGATGGAGTTCCCCTTTAAGCTGGATCATAATACACTTGAAGTGACGCTGCACTAACATTAAAAAGACAATAAAACATCAGACTAAGTTACTACACCACATAATCAACACTTGGTGGTTAGAACAAACTGTTAGCCAGTTCTGGTCTATTTCCTCTGTACTAACTCTCCCATTTTATGCTAATGAATGTCTTCTTAATGAGCTGCTAGGTTAACTCAGGCGTTTAAGCACAGAATAAATGCAGGACAGGCTTGGGAACCACTGATTCTGACCAATTTGGTTCTGCTTTTTATTAGTCTAATTAAACAGCCCTGATGCTAGCAGGTGAAGCTGAAGACAAACCCTCAGTGTGTGTTCACTGCCATCATCAGTTTGAGTTTTGTGAGTCTGATTTTGTTTTGACCATCAGATACGATGGCACCTGTTGTGGAAATACAGGTTTGTCTCAATTTTATGTTTGTCAAAGAAAAACCCATCGTATTTACTAAGATTACTAATTTATCTCATTTTTTAGCTTAATGATATGTTTGTGTGAGAGACTATGTTGGTTTTTTAATGTAAAACTGAAATAGAATTAGGCAGAACGGGCTATTTGAGAAACTCAGTCACATTACATGTATTATAAAATGGCGATATGATGGATAAATTGTGCAGAAATAGATGGAAAATCAGGTTTAAATGTAAAAATGTAATGATGAACGTGTTGTGATGTTCCGTGCACATGAACGCGTCAAACGTGCCCGAGTTGCACAGTGGGTGCTGCAGAAATGGCGGACGAAGTTGAACAGGTTTGGATTTTTATGATGTTGTTTCAAAATTACTGTTAGTTTGTGTGCTAAATGTGTTTGGGCTCTAGACAGTCAGCATTTTATAATGTTCACTTTCCCGAATGTGTACTTTTAAAGCTTTTATAAGTGTGAAAACGGCGGAATAATCACGAAGCTGAAGTCGGCTTCTTATTTGCTAGCTTCTTGTTTGAATTTTCCCGTTCCACCTTAAATGATGGAGCAGTTACCTTTTGGCGCCTCATGCGCCGGATTGTAACTGCTGAACCATTTAAGGTGGAACGGGAAAATTCGAACAAGAAGCCAACTCCGGCCTCGTGGAATAACCTGTCAGTATGTTGCTGCTGCTGCCTGTAGCTAAGCAGTGCTTCACTGCTATGCTATGCTATGCTATGCTAAGCTAAGCTAACTGACGTAACGGTAGCGTTTACCTAGCTGGCTAACTGTTACAGGATAGATAGATAACTAATGTTAAATTAATATTTACAACCTCGTTTTCTGACAGAGCTGGTCACTGAGTGACAAGAATGAAAGTTTTAACGATATAGGTTGGTGAAGCCAAACTCAAGTTGGCTTCTTATTCGCATTTTCCATTCCACCTTAAATGGTGCCGCGGTTACATGCAGCTGCTGTAATATTTAAGGTGGAACGGAAATGCAATTATGAAGGCAACTTCAGTTTCGTTTAGTAAAACCATGTAAGGCATTTCCATTAACGTTAATATTCATTTCCATTAACGTAAAGTGCTGAAATACTTATATTTTGTCTTTTTTGACACATTGTGGTTATAAACCTAAACGTGCAGAGGAGAAACGCTTATGAATATCAGTTTTGGTAAATTAGCTACGCGCTTGTAAACGCACTCTTTAGTAAAGGCACTGGTTCTATTTAGAACCGTGAGTTCTGATCTGAACCATTCCATGTTTATATGGTTCTTGAGATTGATGGAGAATGTGTTGTATGTGGTTCTGTATAGAACCTTTTTGAAAATGGTTCTACATGGCACCAAAACAGGTTCTGTTGTTGTAAGCTTGACATCGTAACAATAGTAGAACCCTTTGTGGTCCTATGTAGAGGCATTTTAGAATAGGTTCTATATAGTACTGTATACAACACATTCATCATCAATCTGAAGAACTATTTAAGCATGCGTATGGTTCTCTATAGAACTTATGGTTTTCACTTTGCAGTCCACCTTACTAATTTGTACAACACTGTTCAGTAAAGGTGGTTGACATGATAAACAAATATAAATAATTGAGAACATTTTTATTGTGAACAAGTTAGCAAGGAGATTAAGATTAAGAAATGTTCCCCCAGAAGTAAACAGTATAAAAAAACATGTAAAGAATTGGTACGATTTGAGAGATGCAGTTCTTCAGCGATATGGAAGTTAGGAGTGGGCAATGTCAGAAAACGTGAATTTGTACTGCTGATAAATAACTGCTTGTGGCTGGTTAATTTTTCTTTGCAGCAACAGACGACCAACACGGTAGAAGAGCCGCTGGACCTCATTCGGCTGAGTTTGGATGAGCGAATTTATGTGAAGATGAGGAACGACAGAGAGCTTCGCGGAAGATTACATGTAAGGACCTTGTAATAATGTCACTGCAGCTCCAGGCTCACACAGACTGGGTTTTCATCAATGTATTTTAATCATATTTCGGCATATCATATGAAAATATTTGATAAAAATGGCAAAAATAGTAAAGAATCAGCAGACTTCACATAAGTCTGTGCACTCGCTTGAGTACATTTTTTGCAAAAGTAAGTAAAAAAGTAAAAACTATGTGTTCCATTTTGCAGAAACAGAGGAAAAAGAATATTAACTTTTAATATGCTTCACCTTTCTTTCCCACCACCTACCATCAACATAAAACCCTCAGGGACCCTACCTGATATGTTTCACACAGATATGTCACAGTACAGAAGAAAATTGCATTGTGATTTTCTGATTCACATTGACTTTACGCAGGTTGTAGTTGTCATAGTTCTCTTTCCCAACATGACTGACAATTTTTTTTTCTTTTAAATTGGAATGTGCTGTCATCTTATTTTTTTTACTGTTATATGTACTCCACACTTTTTTTCAAGAAGTGTGATTGTGATTGAGTTCATTTATATTCAGTTAATTTATATAATTAGAGTTTGTGTATGATTTGAATGTTTTATAGTTTATAATGGGTCAAAGAATAATTTTCATTTATTTTTTCGGGCATACATAAGAATACTTTTAAAATACCTAAAAAATGTTATGTATGTAAATGCTGTTTGGGCTGTCAGATCTATAAGAAAGCTCAAATAGATTTACATTTAATTATAAGGCCTATAGGAGTTCCTCTAGCTGCGATTGTCTGCAAATACCCAGCTAGGGAAGCGCTTTCACTTCTTTTATTAATCTTTTTCAGGAGTGGAACAGATTTCTAGAGAACTAAAACCAGGCTGAGTAAAAGATCAGATTATAGAAAAAAATGTTTTTTTAAAGCCTGATTAGATGCCAGAAGACTACAGCTGTGTCCCAGTTCAGGGGCTGCATCCTTCAGAGGCTGCATTTGAAGGCAGGTTGCGTCACAGCAGTGCGACCAGGCTGTCCCATTTCGAAGGCATCTCATCAGGAGCCGCCGGTGAGGCATCTCCAGCTCTAATAAATGGGGTGGAAAAAATCAAAGGTTCTGGCTCCATCTTTAAAAGAACTTGACCGGAGCTGTGTTTCATGATGCAACAGTAAGGGCGGGGACAGCGGTGCTGTGACGCAAACAGAAAGTCTGCTGTAGAGTTGATTTCTGGTTCAGCCTTCGAAGGACACGCTTTCGCACGCTGCGTTCTTCGAAGGATCCAGCCCCTGAATTGGGACACACTGTACGCTGCTTTTTTGGCCCAAATCAGCTCACCTCTTCCACACTGATGGGATCCGCACTGTATGTGAGATCTGAATTTAGTGGATCTTTACTTTTGGAAATATTATCCAAATTAATTTAAAAGTAGATTATTTTCCCCGTATTAAGAGAATATCACTTAAAGGCTGAATGCTAGTTGTCTGTATCTCCCCCAAGTGGGGTGGCTTGCACATTTAATATAGTAGGGGAGACACTGGGTTAAAACCTACTCTGCACCAGCACCGTGCCAGCCTGATTTACAAATTAAAATATGCGGCAAACATTGAGATCTGGTCAGTATCTAGATGCAGGAAAAAAGTGTTAACAAGCTGTATCTTGATTGTGTGCAGATTCAAGTCAGTGTGATTGGACCACATGCAATTCTTGTCCATTTTTGAAGAAAAGGTTTATCCTTTAAAAAAAAAATTGGATACAACTAAACCTCAAATACTGACAGTTTATGAAAAAATATTGCCTGCTAAGAAGTGAACACAGAAGTTTGTTGTGGTGTTAATGCACTTGTGGCCTTTCTCAGTTGATTTATCACTGTAATATTATTGGCAGAACTTGGCCATCAGGTGCGTTAATGGCATTTTTTTTAAGTGCATTGAAATCTCAAGCCCGTAAGGAGGCACTGATTTCACTGAATTTTTTAAACCTGTGACAATCTCATTATTATTTATACTCCCCATTGACTCTCTTGACCCCTTGGATATTTGAGGTTGCATCAGTCGTCAGAGATAATCCTTAAATAAGACATGAGCGTAGAAGGCAGTCTGACAACATCTGTTAGGTGTTTGATGGCTAATACTGACACTGAGTTTTCTTAAAAGATCTTTGTGGCCCTTTATCATGTGAGAACTTAAGTTACTCCAAAGAGCAGACACTTATTGTGCTTTCATTTTTGTTTTTCGTAATCATTTTAGGCTTATGACCAACATTTGAACATGATCCTTGGAGATGTGGAAGAGACAGTGACGACGGTGGAGATCGATGAGGAAACGTATGAAGAAATTTACAAGGTATGTAGTGGCCATAGAGTGCAGGTAAGCAGGCTAGCTGGAACAGCAGATGTAAAAGCATGTTTAAATGTGTCCAGGCACAGAATAATGACACGTGTTCAGGTGCACATACACAACTTTCATAATTTCAGTAGAAAAGCATTGATGAATAGAAATGGCTGCTCTGGAGCATCTGCACATGAGCCTGAGGTCACCATACCCAGTGCCAAGCATTGGCTAGAGGGGTTTAAATGCTCCCTGCATTGTGCTGTAGAGCTGTTTAGGGTGTGTTATTGATCTGAAACACACCAGTAGAGGTGCTTAGGTTAGTGGTCGGCTGGCTGGCTAACTGTCCAGCTAGCTAATGCTTGATGATTGGCTATGTTACCTTCTTTTGAAATGCAGTAGACTAGCATACTAAAATAACACTTTTCAACATAGTCATTATCAAGGCTTCACAGGAGCAACAAGAAGTACTGGAACACTGTGGCTGGTATTGAGTGCTTTTATTTGTTAGACAGCACACATGGAGGCTGAGGGAATAGTTTGTTTTATTTTGCTGTAATAGTTCAGAATCTTGGGATTTCTCATTTTGTTTACATTAACTCTGAATATGCTCCTTGTTCCGCAGGTGCTACCTTCCATTATAAATCATAATTCTTTTAAGTTAACATGCCAAAAGCTATACACTCAGAGAGAAGATCCCCGAAACTCAAGACATTCATTTTAATTAGCCCCTTTGTGCATTCTCCTGCAAACCTTGAATCCCTCCTTGGAGGGCAAGTGGGATGTGACATGCGTGTCTTTATTTGAACGCCATAGTGCATCAGCAGAATAACAAGATTGACAGCTTTTGTCTAATGTGCAGGCTGCTGTTCAGTCTACCATGCTGTGAAATTATTAAAACAAGTGTCAAAAGTTATTCTAAAACTTTTCAAACCATGCACAGACACAGTGCTAAAGATTAGTACGATTTATTGATTTTAAACTTGCTGTGACGTGCATGTAGATTGTTTCAAGTTTTTAAAGGGCAGTATGGCATTTAAGCTATTCTCATTTGTTCTCATTTCTGTATAAAACGTTTAAAAGGTTAGGTCTGTATTCTGTTTGATGGCTAATACATGTAGCCTGCAACCTAATTTCCAAAAGAATTTGGGATGCTGTGCAAAATGTAAATGAAAACATAATGCAGTGATGTGCAAATCATTTAAATCGCTTAAATGAAAATAGTACAAAGACAACATATCAAGTGTTGAAAGTCAGAAATTTCATTGTGTTTTTGAAAAATATTGGAAACGGAGTTCTAGTAGCTTACTCTGTTTTCCTTTTATTAGTGGTGGTATATTTTATGACAGAGACCTAAAATCAGAGAAGTTTATCCCCCCCCTTTTCAGCAGCAACAGTGCCTACTCTTGGTGTCTACTCTGTGCCCACTCATGTGCAGCTGCTCCAGAATTACCCATCCTATTGTCCAATGCTTTTGTATGAAGATTATTCAAACTGCACGTACGTTTGCATTCCTGTGTCAGCAATGAGTGCACCTTAAAGTAGTTGAATTCACTAACTAGAAGGAGTGTCTGGATGCTTTTGGATAAATCCACTGCATATTACCGACTTGATTCTACTTGGTTTTGGTACCAGCTACTCAGAAGAGGCTGACGGCAGCAAGACATAAGACTACTGGGAAAAAAAAAAAGTTTAGGGAAATACTACGTTAGGGTTCAGACGACAAGACTATTCTGGTTGCTCAAAGATGTTTGCGGCAGCTTTTCTCAATATTTATGTAGAAATTTGCTGTCGGGAATTTTGGTTTACCATAGCTTAACAGCTTATTCTTGAAAAATTCATTGTATTAACTATAAGACGGAATAAAACATTCCATGTACATATTTCATTTAATATAGCAAGCTATTTAAAATGTGATTATTCTCTATTAATTCTCTTATTGCTGGTATCCAGTCATTGCCCTAACACACAGGCCTACCCTCAACTAGTCTCTAAAGCCAGTACCTGATGTTCCTTGCACCAAACACGGTGCAAAACCGCTTATAAGTGCACAAAAATTAAGATATAGTTGTGTTTGATGGTGGAAGGTTACCGTTGACTTTCGTTTGTCATCCACAGAAATTCTGCGGCAATAAAACGTTCTGGAATCGTCTTCTCTTGTATTTAGCTTAAATATTTGTTGGCAGATACAGTCATCTCTCTGCTTTATCCATGGCTTCCCAGCATGAAGCACAAAAGCTGCATGCTTACAATAATTGTGAAAGGATTTACACATTTAAAGCAGAAACAATTAAGTGACTGGAGTACTCAGTTAGCCAGTTGAGGTGCCAGTATTTGAATACTATAATCTCTATTTGGTTATTCATTGCATCATGTGAAGACCGAGAAAACACACAGACCAACAATTCATTGAAACTGTGATTTTATGTGTTATCCTGACTATGAAATTTGAAGATTGTACATGTAAACGTTATCATTCGCTACTCCAGAATGCAAGTGCATGAACGTGGGCATGCTGACAAGGAGGGAGATGACATGGACGTGACTGAGGAGGGAAGACTTTTATCAATAAAAAGTTTAGGCTGATGTCCAGAAATGGTCAAAATACATTTCTCTGACAAACTGACATGTTGGCAAATCGTCCACTGAAGAGGAAACACCCTTTTGTTAGACAACAAGTCACCATCAGCATCCAGTGTTACTGGGTTTTCTGTAGTTTTAGCTCATTAGCTCCTCCGATATCCCTTGGCTGTTTTTGAATAATTAAATAATTGAATAATTTTTGGTAGTTTTTACTCCTCCACACTTAGAAATCTATTCATAACCTCTTGCGTACACTTGAATTTGAAAATTAGTCAGAATGCACATTCCTACTAAACAGTAAGATGAAGGGAATAGAGTTTTCGGAAAGTGTGAGAGGTCAAAGACTGTGCCAAGGAATGCGCACTCTGGGGCTTGAGTTGATTATGCTAAACTGTCTTGTTGAATTGACACACTGAAACCTTGTATCCCTCTGGTTTCTGTTCTAAATTGTATTCTTTTGCCATGCCATCTGATCTATCTCATTTGGCCTCTTGCTTTTGCAGTCAACGAAGAGGAACATCCCGATGCTGTTTGTCCGTGGCGATGGTGTGGTACTGGTTGCACCGCCCTTGAGAGTTGGGTAAAATGAATGGAACGTGCCCCCTTCACCTCTGAATCATGTTGTGGACTGTAAATTGTTTTCAGGATAGGCTTACACATGACGTCTATTGACAAGTCACAGAATTGTGAAATTTCTGTACCGTTTAGTTGGGGAAAAAGTCATGCTGGTGCTTAGTTGGTGCACAGTGTTTAGGTTGTTGCTAGGTGCCGATTTTGTATATTTCAGTTATGATTATGATGGGTGTTCCCTGAATGCTTTAGTATTTTCACAAATGCAATAAAAAACTAACGTGTAGCTTGTCGTTTGCTAATTTTTATTTGAATGAACAGTTTTATTACTAGTAACTAGCTTTTATTTATTTATTTTTATTTTTTTGGGCAAATTATAACTTCAGTTTCAAAATGTTTTCTATTTGTTTGTATTGCAGATGAATGCAGATTTACCTTTTTCTAGTGTTTTCAGCTTCACATTGTACTTGTGGCCAGAAGGTGGAGCCATGGCCACATCCATTCTTTCAGCCACGTTCACCACTGAGGGGTGCTGTTGTAGTACTTACATTGTTCTCCTATGCTTAAGAGTATCTCCATTTAGTTGATCTCTCCTTGGATTGCATGGTATGATGTAAATTAGTCTGCCTTAATGTATGACTTTCACATATAGAAGCTGCTTCATGGTTTGGATGTGAATTCCTGTTTGAAATCTGATGGCAAATGTGCCTGTAGCACTACAGTAACTTCTGAGTGCTTATTAATGGGACATTTTTAGGAAAGCAGTCCTCCCTCGTCCTTTCCCATGATAATGCCCTTTGTGACAGTGATGCAGGCTCTTCATTAAGGATGCCCTAGGTTTTTCCCACAGCTTAAAAATATCTGCCTGAATTCTGTTTTTATCCAAATATAGTTGAGGTTGGGGCAAGCTGGATAGAGGTTTGAGGCTTGTGAACCTTGAGAAACTTGATGTAAACAACTCCATTGCTAAGCAAGAATCTATAAATAACTTCTTTTAGTTAAAACCTCGGATTGTGTAGATTGATTTTATAGAATATAAGGAAATGGTAAAAAATGCAGGGTGATGTCTCATTTTACCGATCTTTAAATGAATTAAATGGGTATCCCCTTTTTGTTTGTTTGTTTTAATGATTCATAAATTTGTTAAGGAGCTCATATCCTGCATTTTCTGACCTCTTTAGAATTAATTAGGCTGTTTTCTGTTTGTTTTGGTGCCTCTAAGAATTATATTTGTAAATTAGTTCTGTTCTGAGTGTCAGCCCTTTGTTGTTCTTCGTTCAAAAAGCAGTCTTGGTTGAAACACTTCTTATAACTTCTGGATGAATGGGTGGAGCTAAACTGCTGTAGGCTGAATAGACAGATATGTGAAAATGTTTTTTTTTGTTTTTTTTTTTATTTCATAAAATAATTCAAAAAGGACTGCTTTTGCAGATAGGTTTCTTGTTTAACAATGTTTACATTCTACATCATACTAAGAAAAACTTGGAATCTAATCAGGGTCTATATCTATAGACACTATATCATTTGGATATTGCTATTACAGAATTGGTTGAGGGCTGCGGTATGCAAATGAGGACTGTGCTGTGAGCCTTGCGGGCCAGTGTTTTATCACATACATATATTGCAGAATGTATTGCAACATTGTCCGAATATGTGCAGTACTGTGCAAAAGTCAGAGACCACCTTTCATTTTTTTTCATTTACAGTCCAAAAGTATGAGCTGTTCATTTTTCAGGAGGTATTTCTGAAGAGGTTAGATATGATATTCCACTTACATAAGAGAGGAGAAAGTCAAAGTGAAAATAAGTGAAAAAACAGGGGTTTCAAAACTGGAGTTAAAAAAAAAATGCTTAAAAGATAGAGAGAAAGTGATATTCCTAACAACCACCTACAAGATGTGATAGACCACAAACACTGTCCCCATCAGATAAACAGCACTTGAAGCTTTCATCTTTGAGAGAGAGGAGAAAATCAAGCTGCTTCAGATCTGAAAACATCCACAGGTGTTTCTGTCCATCCTTCCACTGTGAGAAGACAACTCAGTGCTGTGGGTCTGAAAGGATGTGTAGCTGTTAAGAAGCCTCACTAAGAAAAGGAAATAGACCAGGAGTGCAGCACAGTTTGGTAGTTTCTCTGTTCAAGCACACCCACTAAATCTGGCAGTTAACAGGTTTCAGGTTTCACAACTTCCAGGAGTTGTGTGTACGTGAAACAAACACATCCAAACAAAGAAGCTGCTGGTGTTTCTCTGAACAATGGACTGACCACCCCAGAGTCTGGTTTATTGGGATTGTGAGAAGCAGACAGTAGAACCAACTTATAAGAGTGAACTTTTCCTGATGCTGTAAAACAAATAAATTCATGGCCTTATTGACTGGATTTAACTAAGGGTTGTATCTGACTTGTTCAGTACTTTACAGTCTTCTGTTGATATCGTGGAGCCTTAATCTAAACCCACCTTTTCCTACTAAAATCAGATCTGTTTTTTTCTTCATTTATCAGCCTGTTTCAACTGAGATTTCAGTCTGCCATGTACAACTCCCCCGCCTGCCCCTCAAAACCTAAAAGATAAGAATATCCTGTCCCCATTGTGCAGGGGAGTATCACGTCCTGTTGCGGAGAAGGCCTCAGTCCTTCATGGGGATCACTTAATTAAACACTAGGGAGCTACTGCAAGAGAGAGAACCTTGAAAACACTAATACAGAGTAAAATGACTAAATTGCAACTAATTCAACAACAGGAACTGCCCCAATCGATACAAATGATCATTTTTAGCAGTTACATGTGATTTGTTGAAGTGGAATTGACTTTGCTTGAATCTATTATCTGATTTTTTTAATCAGTAAACAGTATCATTTATGTATTTCACTTGTCATGTGGTCTGTTGCTGGACTGCAGATGTTTGCCTGGAAGCTGATAATAGAAATTTCCCAGAGGCTATTCAAAGAATGCTGGCCTTTTTTCTGCAATGGAAGCTGTCTGCTCTCCGTCAATGAAACATGAAACATGAGAATTCCTTGCTAAAATAAGAAGCTGCTACCAATTCAGTGCAACACTTGTTTGAGACGAGCATCTGCAAAATATCTGCAAAACAGCAGAGAAAAGGCTTTTTTCCCCCTTGAATTTGACAGCTCTGGTATTAATCATCGTGAAAATTGACGCAGTTTCATGTACGTCAGTATTTCTCTGTTGCAGCCCTTTGGTCCACCTGCACTGCACAGGCTTGTTTCTGCTCTTGATTAGCTATTGATGTGACTGGAGTTGGGAAACGTATGTTTTTAGCTCATTCGGCGGGAAGAAGCCCGGAGTTCATGGAGGTTAAAGGAGAATTCCACTGTTTTTTTTTTTTCCACTGAATTTTAGCGTAATTCAATCCCAGAGAAGTAAACAAAGTCAGAGTGGTTCGATGTGAATCAGTTCATTGTGAAACTTTACTACCTTACAACTTGGTGATGTGTATGATACTTATATAGCCTTTTTATTTACTATCCAAAATGACCAGTGGACCTATATGTGTCTTTCGAGTTTGTATATGTAATGATGATGGCACAATAGTGGTGAATCTGATTGAAAAATGCCTCAAAACCTTTTGTGAGGGAACTTTTAAAAGCATTAGAGTCTACTTCATAATCAAAATTTACCTTTTTTTTACTTTGTCAATTCATATGCCTGGTCATATGAAGCACAACTCATCATATTATGTAAAAGATGGTTTGTCAGTTCAACCTAAAAAATTGCTTCTTGTAAAATGTCTCTCAACATTCAATTTATTTTTATGAGGCTGAAGTCAGCTTCTCATTCGCCAGCTTCCTGTTGTAATTTTCGAACAAGAATCTGGCGAATGAAAAGCCGATTTCAGCCTTGTGACTTTTTTGGGCCGCTGTATTGCATTATGATCTTTTTTTTGTCATAATGAAATACAGTGGCCCAAAAAAGTCTTTGGACATTTGTGCCATGTTGAATAATGCTTTGAGTTCGTGTTAGGAAACAGAATGTCCAGGGGTCAGCAACATGCGGCTCTTTTACTGCCCTGTTGTGGCTCTACAGCAGAAATAGGTTTGTAGGTAAAAATAAATAATCCTGCTCTGCAGTAAAATAAAGCTCTGCTGATTGTTCTAACACACAAACTGTCAAACACTAAAAAGTTGCGAGGCTTCTTCTTCGCCAGCTTCTTATTTGAATTTTCTCGTTTCACCTTAAATGATGAAGCAGTTACATTCTGGCGCCTCAAGCACCATTTAAGGTGGAGCGGGAAAATACAAACAAGAAGCTGGTGAATGAGAAGCTGACTTGTAAAAAATTGAATGTTGAGGGGCATTTTACAAGAAGCTATTCTACTTTCTACTTTTGAAGGAAACGTTTCTTGCCAGAGATGCAAAAAAAGCAGCTATACCTGAGCTAAAGCTTGAAGCAGACCAAAGTAAGTTTGCGTTTTCACTTCTGTTATACAGCGTGATTCAAAAAGGTTCATCCGATTTCAAAATGACTTATTTCACTCGTAAATCATTACAGAACAATGCAGTAAATTGTAAATGGTTTAAATGAGCATAAAGTTTGTCATTTTATAAGTGCTCAGTATGAACCTCTTCAAGCTGCACGGACAACATCAACGCTACAGTCAAATTCATCCCATACTCGATTGAGCATGTCGGGTGTCACTGCACCCACGGCTCTTTTAATATGATTTCGGAGATCATCCAGTGTTGTGGAACCAACACCAAACGCTCTGAGCTGTTGGAGTTCACTGCCAACGAAAATCACGTTGCACAGTTATGACAGATTCACTCTTATTGAAGTGGAGAAAGCAAAACGCTTTATGCTCAGGCGTCTCCATCTCCTCGCAGACTGAAGAGAGCCATGTTCCAGTGACAGTCAGAAACTCTGTGACCTCTTTCAGTTGGTATGTGATTGGTTCCTAGGCGCCTCACGGTTTAAAAATATGGGGCTTTGAAATCGGATGACAAAGTGGCTCTTCTTAACATTTAGGTTGCCGACCCCTGAGGATGGGAAACCAAGCGGCATTTATTTTAAACAGACCGTTCAAGACTGCTATCATCTTTTTGGTGAAGTACTCTTTGCCAAAGTCTGCTGATTGTTATCGTTTGAACAGTTTCTTTGCAGATCTTCTGCAGATTTGCGTTAAAAAATTCTTTGTACGCTTCTGAGTTCATGAGCAGCTCCACTTTGACATTTCCACCTCTGTGCTTTACAGAAGCTTTAGTGCAGTCTGCTTCTTCTCCAGGCTTTCTCCACACAAAGAGTCTCTCAAATATTCTGTTAAACGT